GGTGGGTGGAGCCTCCAAAGGGTCCGAGAGTGCCTTCCAGGACCCTTCGGAGCCTTCCCCCAGCCCCAGCGGGACCAGCAGGGGCAAAAAGTGCGACCTTCCAGGACCCTTCTGAGGTTTGGAAAGGGTCCTGGCGATTTTGCCCCCGCTAGCCCCGCAGGGGGGGCAGGGGTGCCTCCAAAGGGTCCTGGAAGGCATTATCAGACCCTTCCGAGGCTCCCCCCCCTCCACCCCCGTGGGCCCAGCGGGCTGAAATTGCCAAAATATTTTTCCTGTTTTCCTCACCTAAAAATGAGGTGCGTCTTATGGAGAGGTGCATCGTATGGAGCGAAAAATATGGTAAATCATTTAGAAAATCACCATGACTTTTTCTGTGTTTCCATGGCTCTCATAATGGTGCTCCAGCTTTACCTCCAATTATCTTGATTGATTATTCAAACTATCTCACTGGCATATGAAATGACAGGCAAAACACCGCCTGAACATCTGAAGGCCCACTCTACTAGAGCACTGTCCACCTCTACTGCACTTCACCGTGGAGTTCAGCTTCCTCACATCTGCCATGGAGGTACATGGTCTAATCCATTGACCTTCGTGAGCCATTACCATCTTGATATCTGGGTGAAAAATGATGCTGCTTTTGGCAGAGCTGTTTCGACTTCTCTTCTACTGTGATGTCCCACTATCCGGTAAGTGAGCTTGCCAGTCACCCAGTTCTGTGCATTCACAGAGACCACGAAGAGAGGTTACCTACCTGTAACCATGGTTCTAGTGGTCCTCTGTGAATCCACACATCTCACCCATCCTCCCCTCTGTCCGTCACATGTTTGCTTACTATTAAGCGGCGGTTGACACAACTGAAAGGCGACACTTGGCGCCAAGGTACTTATATAGGTGGGGAGGGGCATATTCTAATGTGTTCATTGGTACCACAGAAGCTCTAGAATCTTCCGATGAGGCTCCACGCAGACGCAAATCACCCAGAGTGTGAATCAACGAGGTCCACTTGAAGAACTACAATTACAGGGTAAGTAACCTCTCTTTCTGTTAAGTTACACAAATATAATGCCAGCTTTTCATTTTTATAATGAAAATGTCTCTGGCTCAGTTTGTGGTTCAAGAGTTGTTTAGGTTTTTGTTTTGAACAAAGGAGAATCACAATATTTTGGCGTGTAACTTAAGTATGACTGGTGTATAATGAGAGAGAGAAGTGTTGGCTTTTTAACTAGTGGTGATTGCTACTGCAGTTTACATCATTAGTGTTATGCTAATATAACTACAAGGATTCTAATCAGTAAGTCACTTGTCCATTACTAAGCCAAAGTTATTCATTCACTTTTGTGTTACTTTCTTACATAAAGTGGACATAACAGGTTATTATAAGTTTTGTAGTGTGGCTTCAGAAAAACCATTTTAAATAGAATGTTTATATAATTTTAGGTACTTTTAAAACAATAACAAAATGTTATGTCATTTGTTAGCATTCAGAGTTTACTTGAAGTTTGTATCTTAGTGTAATTTTTGGTGCAAATGCAAAATAGATGTTGCTGCAGTTAATGTTGAAAGAAGCTGATATTAAATGTCTTTGACAGATATTTTTGAAGTTGAGACTTGTGTAGTTGCAGAGTGGAACATTTCATTAATAGGGGACTTTGGGTGGGCGAAGCATGCGCTCCATGGGGGAACGTCCCACCTATTCATTTTTAAAAAAAACTTGTGGTTATATTTGAATGGTGGTTATCTGATTAGTTATCAGTTTCTTCCGAGTGGTCCTGCGCAGATACAGAACAACCAAATTGTGTGTATTCACAGAGGACCATTAGAAGAACCATGGTTGCAGGTAAGTAACCTCTCTTTCTGTTAAGTTACACAAATATAATGCCAGCTTTTCATTTTTATAATGAAAATGTCTCTGGCTCAGTTTGTGGTTCAAGAGTTGTTTAGGTTTTTGTTTTGAACAAAGGAGAATCACAATATTTTGGCGTGTAACTTAAGTATGACTGGTGTATAATGAGAGAGAGAAGTGTTGGCTTTTTAACTAGTGGTGATTGCTACTGCAGTTTACATCATTAGTGTTATGCTAATATAACTACAAGGATTCTAATCAGTAAGTCACTTGTCCATTACTAAGCCAAAGTTATTCATTCACTTTTGTGTTACTTTCTTACATAAAGTGGACATAACAGGTTATTATAAGTTTTGTAGTGTGGCTTCAGAAAAACCATTTTAAATAGAATGTTTATATAATTTTAGGTACTTTTAAAACAATAACAAAATGTTATGTCATTTGTTAGCATTCAGAGTTTACTTGAAGTTTGTATCTTAGTGTAATTTTTGGTGCAAATGCAAAATAGATGTTGCTGCAGTTAATGTTGAAAGAAGCTGATATTAAATGTCTTTGACAGATATTTTTGAAGTTGAGACTTGTGTAGTTGCAGAGTGGAACATTTCATTAATAGTTGCATTAATGCAACATGACCTATTCATTTTTTAAAAAAACTTGTGGTTATATTTGAATGGTGGTCAGGGAAATTGACAAATGTTGATCAGGGAAAGTCAGGGAAATGAAAAATAAAATTTCATTGGCAACCCTGCAAGGGCCAAGACATATTTTAGCCCTAAAACTTCAGTAATGGTTTTGACAGGCTGAAGCTGCAGCTGTAAAAGACATGTTGGAAGCTGGTGTACTGGACACATACCTTGGAAAACACTGGGGAATCAAACTGGCTACTAATGCTGCAGTAACTGTACTCCGAGTCGATCAGGTAAGTTGGCATTATAACTCTTGTTTCATAATGATTGATTTGCTATGAAAATAAGAGGTTTATTGTAACACCAATACATGCATCATAGCACTGTTATGATTAGAGGTTCTGCTTTGTGCTTAATGTCATACCAGTATTGACAAGGAATCTCTTGTCACCTTAAGGTATATCTAATCATCATAAATACCACATTTTTCCGTGTATAAGACAACCCCCACTTTTCTAACCCCAAATTTGAAAATTTGATCGCTGCTTTCCTTGCCACTTCCTAAGCCCCATGAGACTTGGCAAAAGGAGGGGGAAAGCAGCAATGGAAGTGATGATGCAGCCCTTTGATCCTGCTTTCCCCCTCCTTTTGCTAAGTCCCATGGGGCTTCGGAAGTGGCAGGGAAAGCAGCAAAGAAAGTGATCTTGCAGCCCTTTGATCGCTGCTTTCTCCCTGCACTTGCTAAGTTCTGTGGGGCTTAGGAAGTGGTGGGGAAAGCAGTGATCAAAACGATCCTGCCGCACTTTGATCCCTGCTTCCCCCTTCCTTTTGCAAAGCCCTGCAGGGTTTAGCAGTTGGAGGGGGAAAGCAGGGATCAAAGCATGGCAGGATCACTTTCATCCCTTCCCCCCTCCACTTGTTTTTGTTCTCCTCAGCTTACTTCCATGTATAGGAAGTAAGATAATTTTTAATTTTTAGTCTAAAGATTTTATACAAAGGTATCATCTTATACATGGAAAAATGGTATCTGGCTCAGATTATTGTTTAAGAGTTTTATTGTTTTGTGTATTGAACAAGGTTCCTTCTAAGCTGTGCCCCTGCGTGACTCTCTCTGCTTCTGCACAGGGCTCTTCATCCTCCGTGCACCCACAGCGATTTTTTTCAGCCCCTTTGGTTCCAGTTGTGACAGAAACGGGGGGGGGGGCAGAGTCCCACTCAGGAAGGCTAAAAATTAGAGGGAACGTTTGCATTGAAAAAAGGAGAATCACACTCATCAATTAGCCCACTTCTTCAGATGTCTTATCAGTATGTAGATTAGGGTTGGTACAATCCCAGGTACTGTGGACTACAGCATTCATCAGCCTTTGCTGTATAGCCAGTACTGAGAATTTATGGGTGTTGCAATTGAACATCTAGAGGGCCAAAGTTAAGTACCGGTGACAGTTATTAGGTTTAATGATCAGAAGTACACATAGAGAAGCATTATTGAAGCTCATGTTCATATGGAGGGATGTTAAGTGAAATCTGGTAGAAATCTGTATTTGATGTGAAATTTCTGTAGATTATTATGGCAAAAGCAGCGGGCGGTCCAAAAGCCCCTAAAGCAGCAGGACACTGGGACAAGGATGACTGGAAAGATGACCCTGAACAATAGAGTGGAGTAAGATTTGGTGTCATGTCTCTTGCTGTTGAGAAAAGACACTATGCATGAATGCGTTTACACTGCCTGAAGCTGATGGGTGTTTTTTTCCCATCGAAATCACATGTGTGTGCTGTGTTACTACTAACAACTTGTTTGAGATGCTAAGTATGTAAGAACATTGTATCAATCCACAGCATAGGATAAATATTGTTTATTTGTACAGTATGCAAGATTCCACTTACAGTATCATAAGGCAAATGGTCAAGCCTTCAGATTTTTGACCTGACTGTTATCATCCATATACAGTGGTGCCTCGCTTAACAATGTTCATTGGTTAAAAAAAATCGCTATGGGAAAACATCGCTAAGCAAAACACCATTTCCCATAGGAATGCATTGAAAACCGGTTAATCCGTTCCAATGGGAACGGATTACCGTCCTTAAGCGAAAATCGCCATAGGAAACATCACGAAGTGAAACAATGTTTCCCCCATTGGAATGCGTTGAAGCCTACTCAATGCATTCCAATGGCTTTGCGATGTCTGTTTTCGCTCATTTAAAAGTGTCTTAACATGTTTGAAACCTGTTTTAAATGCTTGGAATCATTAGTGCTGGTTAAAAAACCATGGCTATGGGAAAACATCGCTAAGTGAAACACCATTTCCCATGGGAATGCATTGAAAACCAGTTAATCCGTTCCAGTGGGAACAGCTGTCAAACCTACAGTTCAATGCATTCCAATGGGGGGGAAATTCACCAAAAATTAACGAAGACTCAGAAAAGGTCTGCAACTGTTTTACAAGATGCACTAACGATTCCAAGCATTTAAAACAGGTTTCAAACATTTTAAGGCACTTTAAAATGAGCGAAAACGGACATCGCTAAGTGAAACTAGTCCATAGAGAACATCGTTAAACGATGCGGAAAATTCCTCAAAAAACTCCATCGCTAAGCGAATACATTGTTAAACAAAGCAATCGCTAAGCGAGGCACCACTGTATCTTGAGGATAGTAATGCTGACAGTGTATCTCTGGATACCTAAATGTATAGGATAAGTCACTGCCTTTTCAGGGAAACTCGTGTGATTTTTGTACAAAAACCTCTGCAGAGAATTTGTGGCTGTATCCAGAAACATTGAATTATATGCAATATTGCAACAATTTTTGGAATGTATTAGAATTATTGGATGAAAGCAAAATTGACCTTGGCTGGCAGCTGGCCATTTAAGTTTTTGTATGAAAATGAAATGGCATGTAAAGAGAAGCTAAACATTTCCTGTTTCATGAAGACATTGATTTTCATTGCAAGAAAGCATGTTTTGAAATGCACCTTTCTTTAGTGTTATAGTTAATATGTTAATGCACTGTATGTATAGAATAATAGCAAAGGGTTGGTCTGCTCCGCTTTAAACAAATAGTTATGATTGCTGATTGTTTTATAAAACACCTTCTTAAACTGTTGCTAGTCCACCATGTAACTAACATCTGTAATAATGAAATAGATTATTCACTACTTAGTTGTTTGTAATACTGTTGCTGACAGTATGTAGGGGAGGACTATAAAATCAAATTATGCATACATTTGTTGTCACACCTTAAGTATATGATACATACCGATAGGTGCAAGTCTAATTTCTGTCTCTTGCAGATAATTATGGCAAAACCAGCTGGTGGCCCCAAACCACCCACAGGGAAGAAGGATGTGGATGGTGACCAAAGTGATTGAAATGATTCAGTGTAGTTCTTGTGTGGTCTGTGTATCTTCTAATGTGTTACTTTAAATTATGAGACTAATCTTTACTAGATGCTTGTCCTGTCCTATTTCAATAAAGCAATTTCAACTATTCAGCAGATTGCACTGTTTCAAGCTGAGGAGGTTCTTGCACACTTTAAAGCAGACGTAAACAAACACAAATGCATCCAAGGTAATTAGGTAAGAGGCCCATGGGCCTGAACTTACTACCTGATCAGGCAAATCTGTAGATTTTTTACTTTTTCTTGGAACATCATTGTGGTAGATTTAAGGCATGTAGGCTTTAAGAAAAACCTTCTGTGACCTTTGAAAGCAGGGACTATTTCAGTCCATTTAGAAATGTCTAGTCATGTTCTGACTGAGTAAAAGGTAGTATATATATGGGAGTGGAGTGATATTTGCCTCTAAAATTACAAAGGCCAACAAGTGAGAGGTACAGGCATCTTCTAAGATTTTGTCATCTTTTTATCCATATGGGGAAACAGAAGCACAGGAAGCAATACCTCTCTCTATATATGTAGTACACTAGTAACCAAACTAATAATAAATATTCGGAAGGTGATCAGGTATCTTATATCCTAGAAACACCATGCATTTCAGAACACTCAAGAGTCTAAAGTACAACAAAGTGCTACAAATACACCTTATTTTTAATGTATATGTACAGGCCAATGGGTACATGGGGCAACAAAAACCAATGAAAGGCAATGAGTGCAAAAATCCTTGTAGTACCTGTAAAACAATATGGAAAATTGATGCCACATTTAGTTATAAAGATAACTTTTTTATTATTAAAGTACACTGAAGTATGTCTGAATACAGGTATAGTCAAAACCAGTTGACTGAACACAATCATTTTCAGGGGTATAACTTTCTTGGCTGCAAATCAGTATAAGAAGACTTGATTAGTTCATTTATAGTAGTCGTTCATAAAATAAAAGATATGCTTGGGAATTCAGCACTTTGGATATAGGCACTGCTTGTACATGAGTATCACTGATATGAAACCACTGTCCTTTAGATGATTCACTCTCTGCAACTGCTGAAGAGAAAAAAATGCAAATTTTGCTTCATTATTCCATTCTGAGAATTTCATGGGAAATTAGCTGAAGTTAAGTCTTTGGGGATTGAACAGGACTGGTTCTACTTACTTTGTTGAATCTTCCCATGAAGAACAAGATCAGAAAGCTGGTTGGTCATAGCTCTCATCTTAACGTATGCAGTGTAGTGACCAGATCTCATGGTACCACTGTGCTCAACAATACCATACAAGGAATAAAGGACCTTTGAATTCCCTTCTGCAACATTCTGTGAAGAACAACAAATCCTCAGAATATTTTAAACAGCTTGACTTCATTCAGAAATGTTGACTCACTGTAAGTGCAACAGGGTAAACAGGTTGCCACTTTAGTCTTTCAGTGTGAGCCATTGGAGTCAGTAGTGCTTGTATCTCCTGTCACACAACAATATGCTAACTAGTAGGAATATATATTTAGGATAGGAAGGGGAGATTTAAGGCTAATCAGCTATGGAAGGTTCTGTGTGATGTTCTGCAGAAGGCATAAGACCTATGTATATATAAACCACAAGGACCAGGAAGAACTAAACAGTCCAATTCTACCTACTAATATTTCGAGGTATGCATTAACTGTGTTGATTCCTAAGTGGCAATTTGCTAATAAATGAAAGATTTAAAGACTATGTATGTGTGTATTGAATTTGTACCCCACACCATCTGGCAACCAGGCCACTCTGGGCGGCTAACAACAGTATAAACAATATTAAAACACGATAAAAATAAGTTAATACAAGCCAAATAGGGTAAATTAAAACAGATGGCGATAAAGGTGATAAAAGGGTGATGGAGAGGATGACAACAAGGATGGTAAAAGGGAAGCCAAGATCTTAATGCTCCAGGAAAGCCTGACAGAAGAGCCGAATCTTCAATGATTGTTTAAACCCATCCAGTGAGGGTGCCAGGCGGATCTCAATGGGCAGAGTGTTCCAAAAGCGGGAGGCGACCATCAAGAAGGCCCGGTTTCTTGTTCTTTCCCTCCAGGCCTCCTTCAGGGTCAAGGTCCTCAACCGCTCTGCCTGTGAGAAACGGGTATTACAGACAGATCTGGCTGGGAGCACGTGTTCTGATAGGTACCAAGGTCCTAAACCATTTAGGTCTTTGAATGTTATAACCTTGGAAGTCTATGCGGAAACAAACCAGTAGCCAATGAAGGGTGGACAGAGTAAGAGAGATGGGCTGGAATTTCTTCACCCCAGTTATTAATCTGGCCACTTAATTTTAGACTGCATCAGCCTCAAGGGTAGCCCCACGCAGAGAGCACTGCACTAGTCTATTCTTGAGATTATGATGGCATGAATCAACGTTGTGAGTGCCCCCATGTCTAGATAGGGATGAAGCTGGGCAATCCTCCAAAGATGAAAATGGGCTGCCTGGACTACAGATGCCACCTGGGTTTCCATGGTGAGATACAGCTCCAGGTAGATGCCCAAGCTGCAAACCTCACTCTTCATGGGAAGTCACTCCCCCAAAAGGAGAGGGAGTTTTCCAACCCACTGACGCCACGCGCAAAATTTCTGTCTTGTCAGGATTCAACCTCAGTCCATTTGCCCTCATCCACTCCAGAACTGTCCCCAGGAAGCACTCAAGGGTCGGAGCAGTATCCACTGCAGTTGGAAAAAACTGGTAGAGCTGGGTGTCATCAGCATACTGATGACACCGGACCCCACAACTCCAGATGACTTCATCCAGCGTATAAAGGGACAAGCTTAATGTTTCATTGAAAATACTTTTTCAAACCAAATACAAATTCAAATTGTTGAAGTATACATACAGTATACTGAAGCTTTCCCACTATATTTAATCACATTAATTACAAAGCAATATACTGTGCATTAAGAAGTAAAGTTCCTAAAAGAACAGCAAAGTTTGCTTTTGGATGTATTACATCTGAGACAATAGCCCTATACAGCTGTTTTGCCATCAATGTGGTTACAACCCCATGTTGCTTTGTTCATGTGAGCTGTGGTGCATTTGAAGAAGTTCTTGCCCACAAGTAGGCTATACACATGAGCAAGAACCCTGGAAAATTGATTCCTGCTTTTGTATATAGAACAGCCCTGGAGAGATGTTGCTACTGGCATGAGCAAAGTAATAGTGGGCAAAAGATTCCAGATACCACAACAACTGAATTGGTCTGATAATTAAGCATCAAGTGGAAATACCAGAGAGGTACTTGGAAATGCAAAATGGTGTGTGTGTGTGTTCTAGCACAGAAAGGTAGTTATATGTAATCTGCACATAATTAGTACTAAAACCATGGACTATGAGGAAGTTATGCTGTACCCATACCCTGAGGGCATTCAGAGAGTCATGGACAACGTCTTAAGGTTATATATATGAAGATTCTCAGTCATCCAGGTGAGGTTATCTGGAATTTGAGTCATGGCAACTGGACTTCTTGTTAGGTTGAAATGTTTCACTACTCATCCAAGACTGAAGAAGCTACTTGGATGAGTAGCGAAACATTTCAACCTAACAAGAAGTCAGTTGCCATGACTCAACTTCCAGATAACATCTTGAAGGGCTTTGACAGTAAGGGAAAAAATATTAGTTGCTACTGAAAGGGAGAGAACTGGTTCTGGAGCAGATAGACTTAAAAGCAGGGGTGGGGGTCAAACAACTGTGGTCACCATATGAATGTAGCAGTTGTTAGACTGTGTATTTAATACAGGCTTCTGAACATTAGATGGGACCATAGCTTCATCCAGGAAACCAGGGCTTTTTCATATAGATTGATCCTCCTGCTATATACACTGATCCCTGTTTTCCTGCTTGGGAGCCACTGCATTAGGCTTAGGACCTCAAAAACATTTTCTTTAGCTTGTCAGCTGCAGAACTGGCTTTGGAAAATAAATCTTTCGAAAAGCTGTAAACTCAGTTCCACACAGGAGTACATTAAAGGAGCTGCTTTGTCTTAAATACCTTGTCAGAGCTACAGCCCACTTGTCTGGTTTTGTACACATATATCCCATATAAAGTAAGCATACCCTTATTGAATGCATGTATATGGATTAAACTTGTAATACATGAAGAGCGTTTTTCATCTTTTTTCAAATCAGAAAGGGACTCCCCAAAATATTGGAAATTAAATTGACTTTCTTGCTTACCTTGCATTTAACTGAGCAGAAAGGAGCCAAATCTATTATTTCAGGAAACATTATATGCTTGTTCACTTTTTGGAGACTATATCCTGCCTGTGAAGAAACCACAGAAAGAAAAAATAAATAAATAAAACACATGGAACAATAAAACCTAAATGATAAGAAAAACCATCCATATTGAAGGCAGCAGATCAAATAATGTGAAGTACCTTTCAGAGATGTGGGGATTTTTTTTACAGTTCTTTCCAAAATTCCTCAATCAGCACAGGTGTGGGCCATGCCACCAGAGAATTTTTTTTGTTTGAAAGTCCAGAAACAAAAATCTACACAACTCTTGCTTCCTCTCTAGCTCAAACATAAATACAAAACTGCAACACATGAAAAGGTACTGCTTGCTAGTGTCTCTTTCCTGACCATCTTCTTCAGAGTTAGCAAATACAGAGTTGACCCTACCAATGAGCCAGCAGGTGGTATGGAGAGAGCAGCAGAAGCCCTTTTGCCCTTCACTTTTGGTGAAAGAGAAATCTTTGATCCACAAAGGCCTGTTTTGAATCCCATTACCTACTTGGTTGCCCTTAGGTGATGGAAAAGAAACTCTAATCAACAGTGTTGAAAACAAGGTTCAAGCTGGTGCAGTCAGATCCAGTGTAGGGAGCCAGAAATGGGGTGGGTGGTGAAAGCCACTTTCTCCTTTGGCTTAAACAGCAAAATACTGTGCTGCCAGTGCATTAAAAAAATTGCAAATACAGTTAATTATACCTGTTGAAATCTTTTTAAATGAAGAGTTAGAACCGGGGGAGCGAGAGAAATAAGCATTTGTTTTTCAGCATTGGTGTATACATGCTTCTTGGAATCTGGAGAAGAGAAAGACAAAGTATGATCATTGTCAAATCAGTTTGTATCTAAAGATTCCTACATTTGATAACATCTAAGAACAGCATACAATAAATAACTTAAAACATTTTTTGAAAGACATGAGTGCTACCTGTTCGAAGCTATTCATTTTGTATATATTGGATTATAGACTCCAGCACAATCCTTCCAAATTAAGAATTTTGAGTCCCATTGACTTCTATGTAATGCAATAGAATAGGCAGCCTGGCACTTGGACGACTACTTCCATAAATCTCAGTCAAGAAGAACAATGGTCGGTTATTATGGGAATTAGAATCCAAAATATTTGCAAGACATTAGGTTACCCACACTTGATAACAAACTAAGCACATACTCATCTATCCACAATATTTAATGAGTGTTCAATAAATGAACTTTGACTAAAATGGAAACCCACAAATAAAGCCACCCTCCTTTTACATTTATGATGCATAAAACATTTCTTGCTAGTTACAATCACAATGATCTCAAAAATATTTATGTATACATCGCATACAATGAAGAAGAGGTCTGCTAACACAAGAGCCACTTCCATATGTTCTTTCATATAGGACAGTGGCACTCGAGCTAGCAGCTCACACATGGTTCTGTGATTTGACTCTAGTTTTACCTAAGATGAAGTTACAGGAATTAAACTCTGGAAAGAGTTTTCAACCACAGTAAGTATTCCACCCAGTGAAGTGCATTTAGAGAGACACATCCCATTCAAGTGCAACAGATGATCTACAGTATATGTATTGTCTCTCAGTTCTAAAGCTACACTCTCCAATTTTCTGTCTATTTCAAAATTACTGCCACCATCAGGTTCCTGTGTGATTTTCACAGACCCCTCCCCCTGCTCTTTATTGCTTAGATCATAAGAAAAGTGCAGTAGAAGATAGATGGATGGACAGACAAGATTCAATAAAATGTTTATATAAATTGCTTGGGCAACACAAGATAATGTATATGAGAAATGGCCAGTAGGGCTGGAGACAAAAGGCAGTGACAATACTGTACTTGGAAAGCTGGAGGCAGGCAGTGCAATCTTATATTAAAGACGTGCTACTGTAGGGTGTGTAAAACAGGAAAAACCTTCCTGTGCCAAACACAACTGCCCTTCTGTGAGCAGAAAATCCCTTGTGGTGGCCGATTACAGATATCTGCTGGCAGACGGGCTACTACACTGATTTAGATCAATCAGCAGGACAGCCAAAATGGACTAGAGAAGGGGCAGTATGAAGGAAGAGATGCCAGATCCAAAGCTGCACCCGCTTAGTGCCATAGCCATTATGCTGGCACAGAATTAAGCCAAAGCAAGGACAGTCCTAACTAGTTTATGCCACCCTTTGTCTGGAAAAAATCTAAATTCAACAACAGCTTTTAATGGAGAAAGATGGGACAAAAATATTTTAAATGAATGAATAAACAAAAATAAATTACTGTCTTGACTAGCAAGATTATTCCCTCAGTCATACAGGTGGGTAACTTTAACTGCACTGTTTTCTACTTGAATATTTCATTGGTTACCTGAAGAAATTATATACAGAAGTATGACAAACAGTTTATATTCTGCCATCATCAATAGTCTCATTCAGTTCTGGCTACTCATTTTAAGCTGGCAACTACAATTCTTTAGGTTTACCTAAGATACTGCCACATAAAAACCACCTGATAACTCCATAAAAGCTGGGCATGCATTTCTCTTTCCTCCTCTCACTCTACTAAAACAAGTGCTCTGACAAGTCATTTATATTAGATTGGCCTGGTAAGGAAATATGTAAATACTATCTTTAAAAAAGGAAGAATTTAGCATACTTTTCCCTGCTGTCTTTGGCCCACAATGTTGCCTGCGTGTGCATATATCACAGAGCAGTTTATTGTTCCCACAAAGTTTCTCTTTATGAGTGAACTGATACAAGCAATGAAGGACTGAATTTTCTTCTGTGTTTATAGGTTCTCTGCTTGCAAGAGTACAAAACGCCGTTTCTGGGTCCTCATTCACTACTTCATATATTTTTGTCTCTGAGTTATCAAGTTCGCTGAAACTATCTGTATCGCTCCCAATGTCTCCCTTTAAGGACAGTTTGTTAAATCCATTGGCAATATCCTCGTCTTCTTCAAGACTATCTTCTTTGAGAGGCAGATGGTCAAACTTATTGACACACTCCACTGTAGAATCCAAGCCTTCTGGAGGAACACACATACCAACTTCATTATTTGCTTCCTGGTCAGAAATGTCTTTATCTTCATTGTGGTCTTCTGTATTCTGGATTTCAACTGTTATATTTTGCCCATTCATACTATCTTTTTGATCAACAAATGGATCTTCAACTGGATTTAATGACTCTTCTTGTTTTGGGCAAATCAGCTCAGAGTTACCTTCTACTGTTCCCTTACTGTAATCATTATCAACTTCAGTTTTTTCATTGGCATAGCTATCTGTCAGAGGGATCACCTTTTCCTGAATTTTTTGCTGACGACGCTGATTCTGTTAAGTGAAATATACAATAAATTAAGTACCACAAGAAGTTTAACACTGATTATGTGTAAAGACAAATATAAATTATAGATCTTGTATCATTTAGTTAACATAAACTAAGTATATGAGTCAGTGTTAAGTATAGACTAAAGACAGGCATGAACTGTGGTTCACCCTGGTTTGGCACAGCGTCTGCACAGGTGTTCCATGGGTACCATGTACTTACCTCCCACGTCTCCTCTGGGCAATGGCTCATTCACTGGCAGCAGTGCACGCTTCCTCCCTGCCTCCTCCGGCAGCCAACCACTCAGATGAGGAGGCGAGGCAGGGAAGCATGTGGCACTGCCTTTGAGTGGGCAATTGCCCGGAGGAAGTGGGGGAGGGAAGCATGCAGCACCTATGAAACACCTGTTGGGCACCAGGCCAAACTGTGCCAAACCACCGTTTGTGCCCACCTTTAGAACAGACACCTTCTTGTGTATGCAATATGGCTCCATGTAGACTTAAAAGTCAAGTCATGGTTTGGTTACTATGAAAATAAATAACGGCTTGCCTTAGGCTCACATTTTCCTTCCATCTCTTACATGCTGAATCCTTCAAAAGGCTTACTGTTTCTCAGCATGAAATGCTTGGCTACCTGAATATAGTGAACTAAACTAGACCTATATTTCACACGCCCCCCAGTCAGGCTGTCAGAATATGATAAAATCTTGTTAAGTGGACAAATTATTATTTGAGAAATGACAGTGTTATGTGTTTTTATACAACTGAAATCTATGACAAGGATCCAAGTCTGTATTGGAATAGGATTTATGGAACTACTTCCATCAGTGGACCTTGGAGTGAGGCAATCTTTCCTACAAACACCAAATCTCACAAAAATCAACACAGCGATAGTAATAACTCAACCTACTTAATACCATTTGTGTTTCAGAAACAAGTACACCAAAGAAAAAGAAGAAAGCCGTGTGCTCCTTGTACACAATCCAAAAACAAGGGTAGATACTTTTATAAGACTACTAAAATCTCATACTCAAGTATACTAAATTGGCTTATATCTTCTGAACTCCACAGTACTAACCTTTGCTTGCCTTTTGGCCATTTTCTTTGCCTTTTTCTGGAGATGCTTACTTGTACCTGGAGCCTCTTCTCTCTCTTTCAAGTAACAGTCATTTTCTATGCTGTCTTCATCATTTTCTATTTCTTTTTCAACATTTTTCCCACTTGTTTTTCTCTTACCATTCTTAAAAAGAAAATAGGGACAGTTCAGAAAGGTGGGAAGCCAATTTCATAGTATTATACTTCAGGTTTCCTACTGGCATTTCAATAAGTGTAAAAGGGGGGGAGGAAATCAAGTGACGACTGCTCTTTGTCACAATTGTTTGTTGGGAAGTAGAATTATCCTTATAGGGTGGTTTGTTTTTTTTTTGCTTCATTCAAATCCTGGAACAATTTTCAAAGCCTCCCTATATAAGCAATTTCACAAAAAAGTTTTACAATGATAATTACTATATTAAGGTTACAGTGAAAAGAGAAAATGTCCTGCTTTTATACTCCAACTATTTTTTATTCCATTAGATTTTAAGGACTCTCTTAGCATGATAGACCTGGGAGCAAGCACTCTCTGAAGGGGCAATACATCTACTGCATCTTGAGAATTCCCCTTCAGACCCCTCAGAAAGTCACTTCTGAAAGCTGAAAAGTCTTACCTTCCTCAAGGCACAAGGCACTTTTGTGGGATAGGGAAAAAGTTATTAACTGCTTCACTCTCATTTGTCAATGTTCTGAGTACCAGCCAATGAAACACTTATGATCATCCTGTTCTCAAAATAAGTACTCTAGTTAGCAGGGCTGATAAAGCAAGTCTTTTTATAAAGACTGGTTACTCACTTAAAACTGTAGCTCCTTGTGTGGCCATCTGTGAACTTATGCACATAGGTCTTGAGCCTGAACAGAGCCTTATTCAGAATCTTCTCGAGCTCAGTAGCTTTTGAGAGGATCCCCATCCACACTATACATGCCTAGGAACACTCTAATAGCTTTTTCTAAGTTGCAGTCCACCATCAGCAGAAAAAGAGCAGTGTGATGGACTATGTAAAGGAGCATGGGGGTAGTGTCAGTTCACAAATGGTCACTCAAAGTACCAGTTTCAGATAAGCAACTTGTCCTCTGTGGTCTTCCTGCATAGAAATACATGAGGATGAGCTTGGTTGTCCCATCAAGAGAATCTGGATTAATTTAACTGGGTTGAAAGAAAAAAGAACATGGCATTCGGAGTCTAGACCTCCCAATCAAGGACAAGATGAGGATGAAACCATTGAAAAACAAACTGCAAGAATTTGAAAGAAACATATTGTAGTAGTAATGGGAGATTTTGATTACCCTAATACCTATTAGGAAGCATGTTCTGTCAATATGGCCCTTCCAAGAAATTCCTGGCTGGTGTGGCTTATAATTTTCTCCTGTAAAAAGTAGAGGAGAAAACCTGGACTTGATTCCAACCAACAGAGATGACTTGATGGATGCAGTGGCAGTAAGGGGAAAACTGAGGGAAAGTTATGTTATAAGCAGAGTTTAGCCACATGCATATGCTGGATTTTAGGAAAGCCAATTTTAATAAACTCAGAACAAGGATAAGTAATATCCCAAGCCAGGAGATCCTAACAGGAAGAGGAATCCAACATGGATGGGAATTTCTTAGAAAGGAAATTCTAACGACACAACTACAAACAATTCCAACAAAGGGGGGGGGGGAAGGAAGATAGAAAAGAAACAAAAACAGAAATATGGTTTCACAAAAAGTTCAGAGAGGACATGAAAACAAAAAAGGACAACAAAGAAGAATCTAAAGGTGAGAATGAGCTGAGATTAGCAAGAGCAAGAAAAAAGCATTCTTCAGGTACATGCATAGGAAAAGAGAGAAAAAAGAAATAGCTCAGCTACTATGGGAGGATGAAAAAATGGTAACAGATGACAAAGAAAAAGCAGAAGTGCTCAGTTCTTATTTTAAGTAACTCCGCCCCCCCAAGATAGTCTATGATTCTCCAGGCAAAAGTAAAATGAAAGTGGAAAGGACCACACAGTCAAGGAAAGAGGAACTTGAAAGCTACAGATCAGTAAGCCTGACATCAGAATTGGATATCCTCCTATGGAGATAATGGAGTTGTGTGCTCACAACTGAAGAAAGCAAAACTCTGGTGTCACTCCTGGTGTCAAAGAACAACTTTCAGTACCAGAAGATGTAACTTCAGAAGAATGATGTGATTCTTGAATTGGTCTCAGGATTACTGAGTTGCAAAGCAGAACCCAGAATCAATAGTAAAGAATGAAGGCCTGAAACCAACACAGTGACAACTTCAACATTGTGGCCTGTGCAGACCAGGTCAAAAGAGAATAATCTATGGGTCTCTTGCACTGTAGTTGGAATGGATGTCTGTCTTGGCTCTTCAAAGATCAGTTCCTCAATTATTTATTAGATTGAAGCCACTTATCCTGATGCAGTTGGACCAAGACGTCCATAAGGGCCAAGGCAACTGGGATCAAAGCCAACACAGATGGACTTACTGGAGTTGGAGCAGCAGACAACTATAACTCTTTTACAGTATGTGGAAATATTTTCCCTTGTCCTCCCTTTGCTCTTTCTTTACTTTGGCTGCTCTTTAGATATTGTGTGAGATCTTACCTGTAAAGAAACTGTTAGATCTTTCAGAATCAACAATTTCTAGAGTGAAGCTGACTTCAAGGTTGAAGCCAAAATCAAAGTGTCCAGTAAATGGCATATAACTGAAGAAGAAAGTGAAATTCAAGTTCCAGTAGCTTGCTGAAATGTAACTGCTGAGTCTGCTGCAGCCACAAAACATCTTTTCAGCAGGACTTGCAGACTGAAGTAGGTACAGTGGGTTATTCTGAGTGTCCAAATTGAAGCAATTTTTCCCAGAGATGTAATTTTCATTTCAACGACCTGTTGTGAAGTGCTGGCTTTAGTAAATCCTTGGCAAATAGCATGCTGCTGAAAAAGATGACCTTCACTGAGCTTAAATAAGCACTCTGGGTGCCTATATCCAAGGGGCAATTTCCCCTCTCAGGTGACACACTTCTTGAAGGCCACAAAAGCCATACACAGAAGAAATTCAAGTTGCAACTCTAATTGGTATTATATATAAATATGTGAATTTGCACATGTACTTTGTGTACATGTGCATCTGCTGCCTTGAGTATTGGCAGAAACAACGATTAAAAGTATGTTAAACAGAAGAAGGGAAGACGAAAAATGGAAAAAGCTACCTGATATATTGGGGGGGGACACTCCAAAATGCTCCCATTGATGCTGTTAAAGTGGTGAATGAAAAGGAAATGGCATTAAAGAAAAGCTAAATATCAGTGATAGGACAGGTAAGGGAAAATCACCAGAAGTCATTCTTCTCTAGAAAATTGTGAATGATTGCCAAGTGTATGGCCCATTTATCTTAGTTGCAGAGATTATAAAGAACTTACTTTGACTTTTTTTGGGGAAGAAAGTATTCATCTCTGCTCCTTTCAGAACCTTGATCACTCTTGCTGTTTTGAATTTTGCTTAAACTCTAGCTGCACAGAGTTTAAAGTCTCTCCAGAGTAGACCACAGCTTTTCTGTCATCAACTGATGCTCACAGCTATAACTCACTCTGAGACGTTGATAATGGAAGGTTTCATTAACTCACAATTACAGGTCAAAAAGAGCATACTATACAAAAATGCTTACACAAACAGGCCTCAACAAACTTACAGCCTGCTTCCAGGAGTCTCCTGTGGACTACACTCACATAACTGCATACTAACTTTTAATGATCAGCAGACTAAATAGAAAGGAAAAAAGACTCTTAAGCTAAGACTTGTGGTTTGTTCCTTCCTGTCTCTTTAAAATCAGAGACAGGAAAGGAACAATTGGCTACTGCTGGACTGACTGACAGTCACCCCAGCCCAGAAAGGACTTTCCCAGCCAGACCTACTGAAGACAGCTTATGTTGAAATGACTCCAACAAAAATAAGGTATTTTTTACAGTTTAAAAACAAAATCAAGTTCCTTTATATTTACCTTTTCGTTTAAAACTGGGAGTGAGAGATCAAGGAATGACTCATGCACTAAAGAAACCTGAAACAAACATTGTAAACTATTATTAGAAAAACTGTCTGACGTTAAGATATATATTAGATCTCACAGCCAAGTTACGTGAAAATAAATGTACTGAGGAACAGAACACACAGTCTCTCTCTCTCTGTGTGTCTGTGTGTGTGTGTGTGAAGCCATTTTCTGTCTATCCAAAGGGAGGGAATTTAAAGCTAAAATTAAGCTTTTAATTAAGATTTGAAATAATATCATTCATCAGGTTTAAGCTCAACAGAACACAACACTTTCATTTTTTACTACTTATACTGCACAGACCTATGTGCAGGATAACACCTGATAAAGTGTCTGTTAAATTATTTACCGGTATGACATTTGGGCTAATTGTCTATTGCCAGATAATACACTTTTTATCAACTTTCACTCTGTTCCTTCTCTATAACATATACATATATTTGAAATCATGATAATACACTCCATATCTGACCAAGTGGATTGTATACCATCAAAGCTTACACTACCACTTGGTGTTTAAAGTCTCACTTTCCATGTCTGATAACCATTCATAATGATAAACTTTGAATAGTTTTTAAGTTGACATTCAACTTAAGTTGACATACAACTTAAATTACAAGATAAAATCCTGAGCCCAAGGAATACCTAATTATGCATAATTCATTCTGCTCTGACTAGTCAAAAGAAGGGAGAGACATAAGAAATTATCTTGGCTACCAATTAATGGAAATTTTCTTTCTTAACACCTCTGAGCCACCAACAAGCACAGAATTAGCAACTGCATGATTACACAATACACTTCCTTTGCAACAGTGATAAATGAAGTCCACCTGAGAAAATCCAAATTAATGGAGGCATTCTCTTGTCACTGTTTGCCATTCAACACTTTATAGTCTATACACAAAAGCCAATCTACTTACAGTTCGGCACTCTTCACACATTATAGTACTTGTCAATTCGCCCCCAAATATACGATCCACAAAGGTTTGTGTTAACTTTCTCTTTTCATAATCTGAAATATCAGACAATATATCAATAAAAGCAGCTGAACCTTTTAATCTTCAATTTATCAGTTACATGTTATCATGTTGCCAACTGTGGTCTATATGCCACACTAAGCCATAGTTTATGTAAGTCTCAGTTTGTTGCCTTAGGAGTGAATTGTTCTGCAGACAACCAAGCTACCACATGCCACTGACCACATTTCCAGCAAAAGGCAACCAGATTTACAGTTTGGCTAATAAGTCTCCAATATGGCCAGTGAAATGGAAATTAAAAGATAGAAGTGAATCCTATCTCTCTGTAATGTCAACTACAACTGAAAGAATGGAGATTCTGAGGCAGCTAAGAGGTGATGAGTGGTGTGCACAAATGCAGGACAACAGGGAAAATAAATAAGGAGTGTGCTGGAGGAACAGACCAGTATCACGACTACAAGGCCAGGTAAAGGGGGGGGTTCAGTATCTGGCTGTAGGACCAGTTGATGAAAAGCTTACTGCCATGTCAAAGAGTAACATGGTTGTCAACTGGTGCAAACATCTTTTTCCAATGTGGCAAAGGCTGCTGGCAGGTGGAGTTTGATGCGAGACTCACCACTGAGCCTGGCCTTGATTTGCATTCAATAGTGGAGGCAGCAGCTACAGTATCAGCTGTAGGATCAATGTCTCTGTTTTACCAGCAAAGTAAATAATGGAGGAAAAACAAAAATGAAAAGACTGTGGCTTCAAATTTTTTTTGTCACTATCAGTGCCTCAAATGAGGTGGGAAGCCAAGGCAATACAGCAATTTAAAAATAGCCAAACTGGATCTGCACATTAAGTATACATTAAATTTCAATCAACATTAAGTATTAAATATATATTTTATCTGTCTGTCTGTCTGTCTGTCTGTCTAACTAACTAACTAACTAACTAACTACCTAACTAACTAACTAACATGCCGCCCACTCTACCCAAAGGTCTCTGGGCAGCTTACAACAATTAAAGTACAATAAAAAGATAGATGCCATCAAGTTGGAAATGACTTATAGAAATCCCAATAGGGCTGTCCAGGTAAACAAGAGATTTAAGGAATGGTTTTATCAGTTCCTCACCCCCGGTGAGTTTCTGTGGATGAGCAGGGAATCAAACCCACGGCTCCTGTATCCGAGTCCATTACTCTATCCACTATACCACACTAGGTCTTCCATTAAATATATATTTTAATTTAAATATTAAATGTCAAAGTATAATTTAATTAAGTTTAAGGTAATAAATAACACTAAAAGCCATATTTAATTTGATGGATGTTTCGGTTAATACTAAAAACAAAGAAGGAGACTCACATGTGTCAGTCTAAAAGATCTGTTGGCTGAAATCCTGTTGCACCATTCTGCGTTCACAAAGGCAATGGCATCTTCACCAGTGGTAAATCGCTGCTAATTAAAAACTTCCTTTGATGATTTAAGGTTACACATTGTGTATGAGTCATGTACACCCTGAAATTTCCTTTAATCAGTGAGAATTTGCTTTTAATCAGCAATGATTTGCTGTTGATGCCATTCTGATCATGCATGTGGACCTGTGAAACTGGATTTCAGCTAATAAAGATTTATTAAGCAGTATTCATGCAACGTAAGAATGTGCCGGCCTGTATCTTAATTGTGCACTGAGCTTATTTCTGGAATATGTGTTATTACACAAAATACTTCTTGTTAAACTTAAGTATCATGATCTCATGAATGTAAATAAAATTCAGCAAACAGAACTGTCATTTGGCAAATGAAGTTGACATTTGACTAATGGGATGCCATTGAGGCAAATAAAGCTAGACTAACACTCTAAGCACAGTTTGTTTCTCCTACATCTACTCCCCACCGCCTTTGCTAGCTCCTGTTTCAAGGTGGGTAGCTAGGAAAACAAGCATAGGAACAAGCCATGGTTCTGGGTATGGACTAGAGGCAAAGGTGGATATCTGTGGTCCTCCAGATGCTGAACATCCATAATCCCCTATGACTGTCTATGCTGGCCAGAACTGAGACTTGTTTCAGTCTAGCAATATCTGAAGGGCTGAATTTGCCTACCTCAATTTAAATAAGCCAGAGTTCATATGCCCAAAACAAACTTTGCTTTCTAATTGTGGGTAATAAATCAGTTTGTTTGCAGGAACAAATTTAGACAGAAAACATTGGTTCTGATATACCATGTTACAGATTTTTGTAAACTGCTTTAAATTCTTTTATTCCTGCCCTGCTCGGAAATATTTAATATAGGGCAGGATATGACTATTTATATAAATAAATAAGTCAGAATTTAATAAATAACATTGTGGCTTATCTTTACATATGAACTTGGGATCTGACTAGAGAAAGCTGTACTCCTTAGCCAGGGAGCAGAATGAAGACACAGCTCCTAACCAGGAGAAAAAAGATGAATGTTGAGAGCAAATGGTTATAAATGACACTCTGTATATTAGTCAGATGTTTCTCCTTTTTCAACTCATGTGACAGCAGCTATACAGACGCTTTAGTGATGCAGAAAAGGTTGACAGCACCTGCTGGAATGATTTAAGAACAAAATCAGCCCCATGTATCTATCACCTAATTAGGTGCCTTGAAAGCCCAGAGGTGGCTGGTTCTAAGAAAAAACAGTGAGCCGTATAATTTTAAAGTTAAGAAAATGTGAATGAGCTGTACAGTTCAACGTTTTGATGATTGTTTATGGAAAAAAGCATATCATCCTGTACGCACAGACAATATCTATTCAGTCAACGAAACATGAATAAGGTAAACTCATAAGCAAGGGGAGCCACTAGCCCTTCTCATTTTATCCTGTTGCTCTCTGTGTAAATGTGTTTCATAAACAGATTTTGGGTACCAGACTAAATTTATACACTATATTTCAATGGAATTCACAAGGTAACGAAGATATAGAAATTGTTACCTTTAATTTTCTTTTTTAGTTCTTCATTTTCTTTGTCAGTAGAACTATTCAATGCCTTAAAAATTCCAGCACAAATCCGCTAGAAAGTGTAATTTCAAATATTTGTAAACAAGGCAAGTAATCCAGTTTCTTAAAGGATAATATTATACAACAGTAAAACAGAAATCCTGTCCTACAGATTGTTATACTATATAGATTAATCATCTGTGAATGATTACATGCAGAAGACCTCTGTCGGTGCATTTCTCTCTCCCCCCCCACACATATTAACTTGTACTGAAAAGCTGCCCCTTCCCTGACAGAAGTCTCACTAAACCAGCAGAGGTTTTCCTCAGCAGAACACAAGATTTGGGATATTTCTTATGCTTTTCTGAGAATTTTCCTAATGTCCAGAGAAGATTTGCACAGAGGGTGCAGGGAGGAGTGGCAAATCACTGAAAACCACCTCTTTTCCTGTTCCACTAATGGAGGCTGACATTGGAATGAGATGGATTGGATAAAACTCATTTATCCAAACTTGGGTCAATGTTCCCGGCTTACATGCAGATCTCTAAGACATAGTATCATTGATTTCATTGGGACATAATTGCAACTAATTTGGGAAATCCAATTAGGTCCCATTGAAATCCCCAAATTAGTAGTAATTAGGTTCCATTGAAATCAGTGATATTACTGTTGACAACAGCTTTCTTTGCACTTTACAGGGAAGAAAACACTAACGAAATGCTGTATTTTTTGAAATGGTATAGAGTTGATAGGGGTTTCCTTTGCACAAAGTAACTAGATACATCATTACTTACAGGAAGTGGCAGAGGAAATATTCTCTGTTGCATTTGGAGGTACATCACTACTGTACTTCCAATACTATTTTTTGTGTACTGTATACTGAAGTTCAGTAAATTACTAGATGGAAACAAAGTTACGGCAACCCATTCCTATACATGCTCACTCAGAATTAAGCACAGATATACTCCCTAATCAGCATATGTTGGATTGCAGCCCATTCACTGCTATCACAAGGACTTAGTCATGAGTACATTTTATTGATTGAACTTCCCAATGAGCTAGGATGCCTTGTTCTCTTTAATGCTGCCTTTGTACCAAAGAGGCCAGAGAGGACTAACAACCACAGTATTCATTCCATGGTAAGATAATTACCTGCATTTCTTCTGTTCGCATTCCATCTAGCAAATAACGAAGCAGCTCCTGACTGTCTTGCTGCTGATAGCCTTTAAAACGTATGGCTCTATGTAAGCAAAAAAAAAAGAAAAGTTAAATTGACATGAATTAAAATAGAATCATAGAATCATTGAGTTGGAAAGGACCAATAAGGCAATTTAATCCAACCCCTTGCTTAATGCAGGAATCCAAATTAAAGCAGATCTGACAGATGGTTGTCTAAAATAGGTACAACCATGGCCAGAATTCTACAGGCATCATGCAGCATTAACCAGAAACTGTGTAAGCAATTTGCATCAATTTGCTGGTTGTCACTGTGTGCTTGGATATGTTATTGCTTCCACAGTCTGATACAATATGGATGTATGGCAAAATGTGGAAACCACTGACATGTGTTTGCAATATTTCACATTAGGCTTTTGGTTCATGTAGCTCTAGAAGACTAATTCTGCCATAACATTCTCACAATACTGAAACTATTTGTTTTATTGTATGATTCCCATATAGCCGCTAGAGTTTTTAACAGTATTAGATGTGCCTACTTAGAAATGCCACTTACTCTAGTGTACAGCAGAGATGGACAACTTTATGCTCCTTCATCTCAGAGGGTCCCTCTGTAGCCACTGACTTTAAAACACACGCCCACTCTTTACAGAGCACGCAAGCTAATTTTGATTGATTAAAAGCAACAGCCACTAAACTGACATTTTAGTTGGTTCCATGCACTGTTTAATCTGTAAAGCTTGAAGGGCGAGTTTCAAAGTACAGGTTGCACACACTTTAAACAGTTGAGTGCTGAAGCATTATGGAAATAGTTTTGCAATATCCAGTCCCCAATTCATGCAATGAAGGTAAACGAGACAATATGTAATTTATGGAAGCCAAAGAAGAAAATGCTTTCAAAAACAACATATTTGTTTTAATGACAGAAAACCAGTAGTTAAGTCACAACTAAAGGAGGCCTACTGAATCAGTTGAGGAACATGGTGGCACTGCAGGCTAAACCGCAGAAGCCTGTGCTGCAGGGTCAGGAGACCAGCAGTCATAAGATCGAATCCATGCGACGGAGTGAGCGCCCGTCGCTTGTCCCAGCTCCCGTCAACCTAGCGGTTCGAAAGCATGCAAATGCAAATAGATCAATAGGGACCACCTTGGTGGGAAGGTAACAGCGTTCCGTGTCTAAGTCGCAGTGGCCATGTGACCACGGAAGATTGTCTTTGGACAAAACGCTGGCTCTATGGCTTGGAAACGGGGATGAGCACCGCCCCCTAGAGTCGAACACGACTGGACAAAAATTGTCAAGGGGAACCTTTACCTTTACCTTTACCGAATCAGTGAGGATTTGTGAGTTCCACAGATTCAATGGGCTTACTGAAATTGCAATTTACTACTGGATTTCAGCCACTATATTAGATCCATTACTCTGTAGTGTACCAAAGTACTGTACTTCTGTTATTGATGATTGAGATGACAGCAAAGACTGATGGGGGAGGTACGATTCAACAAAATCTAAACAGTCACAGGTTTCCCTGCCCTGCCTTCTGTATGACAAACGATGGCCTAAAATACCTAAATAGATCAGATTCACTTTAAACAAACCCCATTGGTGCATAGCTTTACGCAGTACAATTCGGATGTCATTAATTAGCAATATAAATCTTTAATTTAAAACCTCCTATCTCCCACTTCAGATTCTAGGGCTCCCTTTCACCTTGGAGAAGCCTTTAGAAGCCTTGAGATGGGGGTGGGCATAAAAACTTTAATACTGGAAAACTGCTACCCGCTAGATCAGTTTATCCGCTAGATCAGTAAATTTAAGCCAACAGGACTTAAGTCACTATACTCCACTAATTAAGCTTTCCCAATACAGTATTAGTGTTGTTATACTCACTTCTTACAGACTTGTGAGAAGAGCTCTTTAGGGGTCACTGTTCCTTTTTTTGTTTCTTGCATTTCTGTCAGAAATTGGCACATTGCTGATGTCAGGGGTCTTGGCTGATCAAGTTTAACTACCAGGAGTTCCTGAACACCACATAAAGAAAACATATTATATATCTATAAGCATTAATTTTGCAATTTGCCTACCCAAGAAGATACACCAAGACAATTCAGATCTTCTGTGTAAAATATGTGCTTATTTTTTTTGCAAATGAAATGGGTAGCATTTACACTGATTGGCAAAAAGCAAATAGCCCAGGAACTGTACTTAAAGATGCATAATTTATATTGGCTAAACCACAGTTAAGAACAACCTTCTGAAACACAGAAGATAGGGAAGGCTGTTCTTAACTGTGGTTCAGCCAGTCAAGTCAGTTTGAAACAATGATTCATGAAAATAGTTTCTTCCTGTAAACCACAGTTAAGACTAAGCACATTTTATCTAGGTTCAGATATTAGTCCATTAAAAACAGGGGGGGAAATCCTGGTCTCCTTATAATTATGCTACAAAAGAAAGAAGTACACAAGGCTGGGAGTTGTTCATGGAATGCTAAATGACAGCCTCTGTGTTATTTGTCCTGGCAACCTTCTGACTCTTGATATTCACCCAGGAATCTATAAAACTTCAAAATAGAGTTAACTGCTGGCCTGTTTCTGAGCCCAGTACGAAGTGCTGATTATGACCTATAAAGCCCTATAGGATTTGATCCAGGCTGTCTGCAGGAAGGCTATGAGCCTTCCTGGCTCGTAAGATCTTCAGGGTAGGTCCCTATCTCTCATTGCCTTCACAGGCATATCTGGTGACAAAGGCAGAGAGGATCTTCTCTGCAGCTGCTTCTAGGTTGTAGAATGCTCTCCCTCGAGAGGCTAGAATGCCCCCCCCAGCCCGTCCTTCTGGAGATAAAGATCATCTTTTTTAGACAGGCCTTTAATAGCAAAGATCTTAGATCCTGGCTCTGGACATTATCAGTATATAGGTATTTTAATAAGTTTTGAAGTGTTTTTGTTTTAACTAAATTAGTGCTACTATATATTTAGCTGTTTTTAATACAATAAATTTTCATGTTTTAGTTGGTTTGTTTCTTAATATCATGTGAAATGTTTTGGGTCCCTTTACTGGTACAAAGAGGGCATAAAAATAAAATTAGTTAACTAATTGACTAATTAAAGCAAAAACATGTTTCAAATACTTAAGCCCAACTCTGAACAAACGAATCATATCAGAAAACAGCAGCCTACGTACTGTTATTGGGAATTCTGATGGCTCAATCGTAAGTGTAGAGTCTGGCATTTTAACCTCCTTCAGTAGTTCTCTCAGAACTGGTGTCTGTGATAAATTCTGCAGAACAAAACAAAAAGTTGCTGCTATACGTAGAAACCTCTTCTATTATGTTCAAAATACTGTAAAACCACAATACTGAACACTGAAAAAAGAGTAGCTGATAGGATTAACTTCAAAAAACAGTATATTTCGATCACTATTATTCTCCTATATGTCCAGTTCTTTTTAAACAGCATAGTATTTAGCAACTATGACAAAGATAAAGCTAGTAGGTTGTATGGCTAGATCAAGCCAGCAGCTGATATCTGAAATGGGATAAAAATCGGGGATACTGAACATGCAGCAAAATGATCCAGCACATACTGGTCTTTATTTTTCCTTATTGCATGATTTTTGTTGAAACTACATGAGGAACAAATGTTTGTCCATCCATGAATATATATTACTCCATTATTTACACTGAAAATCTCTATTTTCCTTCTGTGTAAGCACACATTGCTTTCCTCTTCTCTGCTTTATGTAAGGCAGACCTGTCCTTAGAATGCTTTCTATAAGACTGTCCTGAAGATTGTTTTTGTTCTCTAGCTGCTGTATGATGCAGTTATCTACTCACTCTAACAGCTTGACATATGGAATGACCTAATTTGGGTCTTATCTGCAGTAGGCTTTGATCAACTACTGAGAGTGGCGCAGCATACCTGAGAGAATGTCTTCTCCAACCTGAAACCCACCCTGCACAATAAAACCTGCACATGCAGCTTTGTTCTAATTCGGTATGTGTATCTTGTGGCCAAAGCAGCACTTTTTAAGTGGTAGCATGACAGCTAGGAGATGTCCTCCCTAAAAGAAGTTTTTATACCATGTCAAAATATTTTTTAAAAAATTATATGAACAGGTGGATTGAGATTTGTTGGTCTCTAGTTTTGATACTATTGGTCCTTTCATATCGTTCTGAAGAAATTTCATTTTGATTTGGGTGAAGGGGATTGATCTTCACTGCACTGTTTTAATTTTCACACTGCTCTGTTGGCAGCCAATGTGGTGTGGTGGATAGAATGTTGGATTAGGACTCAGAAGATCTGACTTAAAATCCCTGCTCAGCCATGAAACCTCAATGGGGATGGCAATGGTAACCCACTCCTTAGAGATTTCACCAACCCAGAAAATCCTGTTAGGGTCAGAAGCAATTTCACAGCACATAACAGTAACAAAAATCTTTTGTTATCTTCCCAACAGAAAGGGCAAACAAGATGGAACGCAGCTATACTTAAAAGTAGATTTTATGAAAAGGCAGAGCTGCATTTAATCAAAATATTTGGTCTTTTTGCTGTTTTCTCAAAAATATTAATCTGATGCTACTTCAGGATAAACATAAAAAGAGATACAGGGCAGCTATGTAAATTTCAACATCTTACCTGCAAAACAGCATTAAAGAAACATGTATTTCCGAGGTTACTGAGACCCCTCACTGTTACTTCTGCATTGCCATTCAAATGAAGCTTGTTATCTTTGAGCATGATCTCCTTTTTCTCCTTCTCTTCCTCGTTTCTGTGATCTTTTATTTTTTTATTTTCAAGTGGCTTGTTTTCATCTTCTTTATATGCTGACGTAAAAAACAACAAGTTTTTGCTTTTTGAAATAAGTAAACCAAGTAGTAATGAAAGCTGGCTGGCTCACCAATGATGGAATGTGACAACTGCAAACACTACCAAGAGCAAAGCTAGATATTAGGAAATGAAATACACGTTTGCTAATAAGAACAGCAAGAATTTGTTGAACATGCCTTCATACTTTCTTCTCTGAAAAGATAAACACAGAAGTGCACTGTCCACTGACCTTGTTTAAAGGGACTGAGAAGCTGAGTGCATAGAAATCAAGACGACTCATACACTTATTACAAGAACGTAAAATCTCCACCCACAGAGGAAAAGAAAATGAATGATCCTCCAGGCTTCAATTAAAAAAATATCATTCACGGGTAGTTTATAAATATATTACTAGGCTTTCGAATCCGAATGAGAACACTTTAATATGTATGAACACAAACAGAAGTCATTTATTTATGGCTGGAATCTGTCCCTCTGTTGCCAACTATAATACAGATGGAAATACTCTGCATGAAGTTTTAAAAGCAACTATCTAAATGTGAAATCACAGCTGCTGATACTGAGAAGAAATCAGATATCAAGAACACATGTGAAACTACCATATTTTGATCACAAGGTAGAGACAGAGATAGAGGAGATTCCAGGAATTTTTTTACATCATTAAAAAAATGTGAGAGGTGGATAAAAAAGATAATTTATGAAGACAGAAAGAACCACATTAAGGTTTTCAAGGCTTAAATTACTCTGCTATTCCTAACAAAAGTAGATCCACTGAATCAATGGGTTTTGCAGAAGTGCTCATTCACCATTTCATTCAATAACAGTATGCTTTTTGGGACTAACAGTTGGATTTAGTCTTAATTGTCCAACACACTACTGTTGCTGAGACATCCACTGACAGGGCTATAATAATTACAAAGACAAGCATAGCTATGAGATTAATCCCAATTAACTGAAACACAGATACAGTTCAGATTTTCTGTAACTCACCCTTCCCCCAAATCTTTCAGGTTTATCCACACATACAAGATATAAATCAAATCACTTTGACATTTCTGATTCATCAGATTTGGCACATCAATGTTAAAAGCAATAGCACTAAAAACTGTCTAGCCAGAGTCCCGTTCAACATTTATGCCATTGTAACTCAACTGGTGTAAATTTTGACAATGAACCATGGCAAGTTAAGAAGTCAGCACAAGGTTGACTCAGATGGAACACCAAATGCCTATGCTGACTTTCTTGACATACAGCAATTTACTGTTGAGATTTATGCTGACTTCTGCCATTAGGAATAATTATCTTCTTAACTCCAATATCACTTACAGAAGCTAGCACACAAGAAGGTAGGCTCTGCCCAATATTCTAGCAACTCACCTGGTTTCCGGAGATTCATATGAGCTTGTTTTCTAACATAATCCACCAGCTGGCCCAGTTGAGTAGAACTGCCATACTGGACCTCATTATCACACAAGTAGCACCTGTTCCACAAAAGTACCAAAGTAGATTGATGAAACACGAGGGGCTTACAATTTAGAGTGTGGCTAGCACCAAACCTCATAGTTGTGATACTGTGCCAGCACAACAAAACATGCACACATATTTTTAAAAGATCTAGCTATGTGCTTCTAATGTACAGCTGAACTTGTTAACTAAAACTTTTTTTAAAAAAAGATGGCTTCTTTGCAGCTCTCTAAGGCAAGATATCTGACGTCTAGAGGTTAAGACTGTCAGACCTTACTAGCATCCTAGTTAGTCACTTTAGGATTAATGGCTCAATTACTTTTATTGAAAAGTATTTAGTTACTGATGGAAGTAATATTTATGGATAAGTTTATGAAACAATAAGTTTCATAAGTTACCGGAATTAGAAGTCTAAGAGGACATTCATACTTGGCACTGAATACCCTTTTTCAGTGGGAAAACACAAAAAAAGGTGGCAAAACATAGTGCAGATTTTGATATGCAAAAATTCGTTCTATTTCAAGTAAATCCCACTGAATCTGGACATCTATGAAAAATGCTGTACATGTGGCCAAGATCGGGACTGAAGTATGCATGAGCAGCACTTATACATTACTTATTCTAATGCAATTTAGACATACCTAATCAGAAATAAGTCTCTATTGTTCTACATGAACTCTGAGACTACACACAAAATTAATTGTAGTAATAAGAAAGCCTAGGTATCATTAGTTAGGTAGTTATACATGACAGAGACTAAACTCTGTATTAAAAAATATTACAGAGGTGGTAATTAAAGCATGTTACACAAAAGATCGCACGGGCATTCTACAAAGCAAGAAAAATGAGAAACTTACCACACACTCCAGTTGTCTAAGCTGAGAACCAAACAGTGAGGGTCTGATCTTGGTGTTTCATAGTGCTTTAAAGCATGTTGTTCTTGAGAATCTCTGCCACAGCCCTGTAATATTGACAATCACATCCTTTATATGTCTCTGTGTGTATATGTATGTATAGTTCACAAGCACATGTGATGAAAAGACTCTAATTTAAAACAAATTTGCCTCTGCCAGCGGGAGCATTGCACAAGCCAATATTCCACTCAGAGGACTCTTTGACTGAACCCAATAATTTTTATTTTTTAAAAATGCAGACAATTTTGTATCATGCAGATAGGATAGTTCGATATGAAAAAGAAAATATACTGTATTTGTTAGTCTGAACACTCCTAAATACGTGTCTATTGCATTCTATGGCATTTAACAACAAAAAAACCTATCTTATGGCAAGATCTAGATATGCATAACAGCCCCACTATTAAAATTAATGCCAAGGATACCTAAAGGACCACCTCCTTCCATATGAACCTACCTGGCAGTTAAGATCTAGCCAGGGGGCCCTTTTGAAAGAGCCATCCCTCAAGGAGGTAAGAGGGATGGCTTGTAGACAAAGGGCATTTTCAGCAGCTGTCCCCAGACTATGGAATGCCATCCTAATTGAGATTTGTCTGGTGCCGACGCTGATGACATTTCAGCACCAGGTCAAAAACTTCCTGTTCCATAAGGCTTTTAATTGAAATAATATCAACTGTGGGTCCTGATGGTAATTTTTAGAGTATATATTTAAATTGCATTTTAATTGTTTTATCTTTTTTACTCTAATTAATTGTTGTAAACCATCCAGAGACCTTTGGGTAGTGTGGGTGGCATATAAGTTAAATAAATAAATGCTAATTAAAATCATACCACTTTTTCCAACCCTGTTATGCCTTTAATAAGAAAAAAGAAAATACCCTATGACCACATTTGAGGCATAGCCATATGGATGGTCTGTCTAGTTCTTCCTCTTCCGATTTCTCTTCTCTTCCATTGTCTGGTATCCGGCAATCCTCACAGGCTTCCCAATCCATATTCTGCAGCACTTTTCTCAGGCTTTGGTCCAATCCTTTGCGAAGGTGTTTGCACACAGGTTCTACTAGAAAGTTTTTAAAAGATGAGTCTAAAGTTAGAGGGAATAAAGAGGTGTTATTTGCAACCCATCTGGTATTGAACTGAAGAACCCTGGGCTGAAATCTTGTCTCTTCAGTCGTAAACCTCCCTGTAAGGCCATGGGGCAATTATTGTCTCTCAACACAACCTCTGTCACAGTACTTTTGTGAGAACAAAATTTGACTATATATGCTTCACAGACCTACTTGGAGTAAGGGCAGGACAAACAAGTCACATCCAAGAAATTGTAGGCAGAAAGAAAATAGCTATTAGAAGCATTCGGTAGATGTTTTCACAAGAGCTTGTACAGCTCTGTGTATCTAAGATGGGAAATGGTAGGAGATGGAGTACATCAGTAGCTGGAAAGTCATAATTTTCCATTCCCTCTAAGTTCATGTGCTTTCACTTGCACAAGACCTTGGAGTACCTGTTTACATCAAAAATAATGTTTCTAAAGGCATTTGACAAAAGTAAAGACATTTTAAAATGTAAACATAAAAATCCAGTATTAACATCTGTAATACAATAATGATGTGCTATCAATTCAATTACATTTTTTGTGACCCTTCTCAGGGTTTCCCAGGCAGAGTACTCAGAAATAGTTTACCACTCCCTTCTTCTGGGAGTACTCTTGGACTGTGCAGTTTACCCAACGCTATACAGTCTTGTTCTTCTCCCAGGAAGAAATCAAACCTCCAACCTCTGGCTCTGCAGTCAGGCACCCAAATTACTGACCTATCTAGTCAGCTTATATTAACAACACACACAGAGACATAATTATTTATTTTGCTGAAAGGTTTTCATGCTCCTGAGCCTTATGCCAGTATTCTGATTTTGTTATACAGTGGTGCTTCGCAAAACAAATGCCTTGCAGAACAAAAAATTTGCAAGACAAATGGTTTTGGCAATGGGGTTGATGACTCGCAAGACAAATGTTCCTATGGCCGTGTTTCGCAAGACAAATGTTTTGTTTTTTTGTTCCTGCCTCATGTTTGCTGATTTTTAAATGTTTTTCTATGATGTATAAAAAGTTAAATCCTTTATGCAGTGTAGAGTTGGTTTTATTGTTACAAGGTTGTGTCCTCATAAAATGATGACTTGCAAGGCACTTTGTGCTGTTTCCTTTTGCTCTGTTGTAGGTGCTGAGGTTACAATGATGTGCATAGGAAAAGTGTGTTTTGCAGTACATGCCAAGAGATTGCAGCATTTATAACGGGTTGTGAAAAAGAAACTAAAGGGCAAATGTTTGTTATTTTAAATACATGAGAAAATAAAGTTGTTTTTTTAAAAAACTGTAATGACAAAAATAACTGGCAAATATTTTGGGGCTTGCAACTATCATGGTAAATACAGTAATTACGTGAGAAGTTTTCAAGTATTACTTTTCCCAATTGTTCCTGGCCAACTATAAAGTCATTCACAGTTACACCTGGGATTATACCTCAACCTTGAATGGGAAAAATAATATTTATGAATATGCACTGTTGCTCTCCAAGTTGAAACACTGTAAGATAAACAAATCCCTTCAATAATGACATTGATCATGCTAACAAGGAAAAAAAGGAGCTTGCCCAAAATTCATTTTCCCCAGAGCTATATAAATGACTGATTCTATTTATTCTTATAAAGCATACCTGGTCCATCTGGTGAGTTATCTCGCAGTGTGTTTTTTCCCTTTGTTCGCCTCTTTCCCATGTTAGTGATGGAAAGTTTTGCTTCTTATAAAAAATCTGGCCTGAGGGAGGGGGAGGGAGCGAGAGAAACAGATATTATTCTTTCTGGTCAAAGAAGACCTCAAAATCCAAAGGTAGCTACCACACATTAAACTACAATGCTACCTTACTACCTTGTAGTTTTTTCAGGCAGTTTGGCTGTGTTCTGAATGTTTTACTTCCTAACATTTTGCCAGTCTCTGTGGCTGGCATCTTCAGAGGACAGGAGTTAGAACTCTGTCTCTGTTCTGGTCCCAAGGATCCCAAGAACACATAACTAGCTTTATGTACCCACTGGAGATCTGGACTTTTACTCCTTGAGCAACTTCCCCAAGGCTGCAGGGCAAGCTATAGTCTACAGTCACATTTAGATCTTAGTAGGATGCTATGATTAGTGCAACAGATGGCAACTAAGTGGCAAGGTTTGTGTGTGCGTGTGTGTGTGTTGACAATGACCAGGGACATTCACAGCTACCTATAATTCTGTTTTCACTCACCTTTGGGGGGGATGCATGAAGATAGGAATTAAAAGTTCCTTGCACTTAAATTTTTGTTTAAAAAAGTACAACCTATTTGTTAGACAGATGAGGTAACTATTCCTATGGACATAGGTAGACAGTTTTTCTCCTTTTCTTCTGTAGGCCAAATTATTAAGGATTGGGGAGCCAACGACACAGCCACCTTTGTTCTTAGCGTTGCCAACCCAACTCTTAAGAGTTTAACCCTTAAATCCTAGGTGCCTTTATTTATTTATTGACTAGTTATACTGATGTCCCCTACTTCTTCCAATAGACTCAAGGTGGCATCCAAGATTTTCTTTCTCCCTCACACTGTATTTACAACAACCAGTGAGGTAGGTTAGTCTGACAGACTGTAAGTAGCTCAAGGTCACCCAGAGTTTCACAGCCAAACGGGGCTTTAAACCCAAATCTCTGATGTCCTAGTCCCTCCTATGCTCTGATCATCACACCACTTCACTTTGGTTGACCTTTAGAAACCACAAGGTATAGAAATTAAAGTGGTGGTGGTGGGAAAACCTATTAAAGTTTTATTGCCAGGAATAAATAGGCTGACCTGTTGAACTTGTTCAGTGACAACCTGACAGGATGAGAAGTGGGAACTCCACCAGCTGTTTGGCAGCCTTGAGTACTCCTTCCTTCCCAGGCAGGGCAAGAGGCGTTAAAAAGCTGCCTTAACCGACCAGCTTCTCAGAGGGAGGGGGGGAGGCATGAAGATGCAAACTGTCAATACAGCAAGGGGCTCGGGTGTCAGCTGCACCTAAAAGTCACCCCTCGGAAGCAGAAGAGAGCGAGAGCGCGGGCGAAATATGACTTTTCCAGGAAAGGCCCGGACCGACTTCTCTTCTGCCCTCCTCCTCCTCGAGAAACAAACGGCTACTGAGGCTTCTCCTCGCTTCGCATCTTCCCGGCTCGAGGCACTCAGCCCTCCTTCGATTGGCCATTTCCAGGCCTCCGCAGCCCGCCTCTCTCCCCTTTACAGACAGGAGCCCACACCAATAAGAAAGCACCCCAAAGGTCTTGTCCCAGGGAAAAAGAGGAAGCCACTTCTGCGGCTACCAAAGGGGAGAAAGAGCGTCTACACACCATACGGCGGCGGAAGCCCAAGAGAAGCGCTGTCGTCCCTCACCTGGGAGGAAAGGACTGGCCTTTCCAGGTATTCCCGCAGTCTTGCCTGCTTCCAGTGGACCTTTCCGGCTCTCGGAAGGCCCCGTGCCGCACCGTAACGCGATTCCGGTCCAGTGACCATAGAGATCTTCCTGTAGAGCGGCATTTTTTCTCGTCAAAAACTTCCGGTACGTTGCATGCCGGGAATGGAATCTGCAAAGCCACGCACACGAGAGGTGTGCGGAAGTCGGTGGCGCCCGGGGGGGGGTGTTAAAACTCCTTGTTAACTGTTTACTTGGAGGCTCAGTTTGGTCAGCATTTTTCCTCCTTTAAAACACAAGCGAGAGCATCGCCTCGTGAGCCCCTGGGACTCACGTGTCCCCTAAGAAGGGTGGAGGGCACGCTTTTTAGGACTGCTAAAATGCTACGTGCAGGTGAGCTGTTGAGAAATAAGAGAAGTCCAACATTATCCTGACTGGATGCTGCAATGACAGATAAACTAGCTAGTGAATCTAGCCTGCAATGCTGTATCCCCTCACCTGGAAATATATCCACTGAATGCAGTAGGGATACCCAGCGGGCATGGGCACAGTGAATTTCACTTTAAGGCTGAAATACTCTATCAGTTCGGTTTGGAGTTTACTGACCATAGTGAACATGGGGAAAGAGTGCTGTGCAAGTGTGCCCTCGCCTGCCACTATTTGGAAAGAACAAAGCTGCAGTTAAATATAGTGGGCATCCATATATATTGTGAAGTAGGGGAAGCTGTATTGTTTCCCAGTGGTGTAGCAGATGAAGTGATGGACTAGGACTCTGGCGAACAGGGTTTCGATGCCGACTTGGCCATGGAAACTCACTCACTACGGGTGTGAAACTAGTAAAACAATGCCTTAAATACCTCCCTTTCCTTGCAAGCCCTATTAGTAAGGTCACTATAAGTCAGTTCCAACTTGATGGCACAGAACACACATAAGCCAGGTTGAAGCATCTATCTTTCGGGACTGAGGTTTGAAGTTTGGTTCCCTACTGTTCCTCTGGGAGAAGAGCTAGCTTATGTAGTCTTGGACAAACTGCACAGCCCCAGAGTGCCCCCAGAAAAAAAGGAATGATAAAACACTTCTGAGTATTCTGTATCTTGAAAATCTTGGAAAGTCAGGATTGACTTGATGAGACATTGTTTTTATTCAGCCCCATTGAATTTGTTGGGATTTACTTCCAAGTAAACAGATGCAGGATTCAATCATCAATAAAATAGTAGCATCCTCTAGTTTCAAACCTTGAACATCAGTTACTGAAACTGTAGCATTGTATTTTGGAACCACTTGAAAATTCTCTCATCCAATATAGACAAATATTAACTTTTTTTTTTAGCTTGTTTAGGAATCACATAGATGTATACAAAATGAGCAATCTGGAAGACGCTGAACTACAACTTTCAGAATTAGATTTGCTTTCTAGTATGTTTCCTAATGAAGATGAATTTAAGCTGATTGACCAAATAGCTTTGTCAGAATTGAAAGATTATGTAGAAAGAAAAACTTCAGAAAAGCCGTCTTCAAAAATACAGTTCGTGCTGAATGTAGAATTAGAAACTCCTGATGGGAATGAGGTAATATATAATTATCTGGAAAAAATACTGTATTTAAATTTATATATTTTTAGGATTCTCTGTTTTAACTTTTTTAAAAAAATCTCTTTGTAGGTTATACTTCCTTTGTTTTGTGCATTTCCATTAAAGTATCCAGGTGTTCTTCCAGACATCACTATCAGGTACTAAACCATCTGATATTGAAAGGAGTGGGCTAAATACTGGAGTCTGTTATAGCATAGCATAATGTCTTGATGAAGAATAATGATCTAGGGACTACGGTAAGACTTCAGGAATATAAATATATCAGGATCAAATTAACAGTACTTCTGTTCAATCTCTGCTTATTATTTTAAAATAGTGAATTCAAGTGCCGTATATACTCGAGTATAAGCCGACCCAAATATAAGCTGAGGCACCCAATTTTACCACAAAAAACTGGGAAAACTTATTGACTCAAGTATAAGTCAAGGGTGGAAAATGCAGCAGCTACTGGTAAATTTCAAAAATAAAAAGAGATACCAATAAAATTACATTAACTGAGGCATCAGTAGGTTAAATGTTTTTGAAGATACTGCCCTTCTGAGCTGCAAGACACACTTCACTGCCTGCAGAGGGAGGACTCATACCGGATGCTGTGCTTATCTACTGCTGCGTAACAAGATGGAGGGAGAAAGAGGATGGAGGAAGAAGGTGGGAGGAGGAAGGTGGGTACATAGAATATGTAGGAGGAGAAGGATGGGAGTATCCTGGAAGCAGAAATGCAGTGTACTTAATCTGAGTCATTGGACCACCCACAGAGACTGCAGGCACCCGTAGATGAGCAGGAGAGTCCGGAGAACACCCGCACTGCAGGGGGAACATGTAATTTTGACACTAACTCAGGTATAAGCCGAGGAGGTGCTTTTTCAGCAAAGAAAAATTATGCTAAAAAACTAGGCTTATACTCGAGTATATAGAGTATGTAGTAAAGATAAGTGAAAGTTTAACTCCTTTTTTTAAAGCAATCAACATCACTATTGATTTCTATGTGTAGGAATCCTTAAGTCTCAAGAGACTGTGGTAATATGCTCTGAATAGAGGTCTTGGAACAGTGTCTAGTGTGGCTGAGAAGGCCAATTCAAGGGTGACAATCCCTTCCACACTGATTTCTAAATTCAGTAGAATTTTTATGTAAATACTTTTTTATTTTTAAATCTTTTTTTAGTATAGTTGTGATAGTCTTAAAACATTTTTCTTTGTAATGCTACAGAACTTTCAATTCAGCCTGTCATTCAGTCCATCCCATCTAACATAATTAACTAATTTTGGTGAAAATAAACCACTCTACTACCACACCAGTTCTGTACTTCAAAATGTTCTTATTTTAGTTATTTGCCCACCCCATGAATTCATAATTAGTTACACAACTGTATGTGTCAGAATTACTTTTATTATGTTATCTTGAGCATGGCTGCCATTTTCTGTGTGATGTTTCTATCACATGCACCAGTATGAATTTATCTGTGCCTGAGGAATGCAACTCAGGATAAAAAAATAGCCATTCTACATTTACAAGACAGCATCCCATTGCATAAACCTGGAATGGAAGAGAAATCACATGGTATTTCTGCCCTGTCATATGACCAGACTTGCAGTCACTGTGAGAATGGGCATATGACGGAGAACCTACCGAGGGGACTGCTGTCTTGCTCGCCTTTCCAATCTATGTTTCTGCAATGTGATGCCAGCTATTATCTCCCTGATCTAGCTGTGATATTTATTCACCAGTGTAACAGCCTAAGAACAGAGACAGAATTTTCATGTTGCATATGGAGAATTCAGTTATAGTAATTCATTATTTTATCATTCACGTTTTCAAGATTTTGGTGGCTCAAGAGAGAGTTTCCTGTGCTGGTGTTCAAGGGAAAGGAACAGGGTTAAAGACAGAGAGTGTGGCTCAAAATATAAATTTAATTTGTATGTATGCTTTTGAAATTTTAATGCAGCGGTTATAAATATATAAAGATTACTACAGTACAGTGATTTCTAACTGAAATAATAATGAAATTATTATTTTTTTAAAAATAAAATAGAAAAAGCTCCCTCAGACAAATTAGTTAAGCCAAATTCAAATTGGAGCAAGTATGACAGAGGTCCCCAACCTTTTCCAAACTGTGGGGACATTGTCATCCATGTGTGTGGGGCAGGGCACCCATACAAGGGCAGGTGGGGCACCCATATGCGTGCACACAGGTGTGTGGGGCACCCGTGCATGGGTGGGTGAGTGTGGGCACACGTGCATGCATATGCAGATGGGCGGGGCGTCTGTGCATGTGTGGGGCGGCATGCATGCTTATGTGCCTGTGGGGGGTGTACATGCGGGGTGGTGGTGGAAGATATGTCTCCGCTGCCCGGCCCTCTCAAGGCCACGGCCCGGTACTGGAACGGGGGTTGGAGACCCTGGAAGTATAGGACTTCCAGGGATATTTGGGGGCATTCCAAATAGCATAATTGCCCCATATATTCTCTAGATGGCATAAGGGATTCCTGATTGTATTATTTGAAAAATAATAATAATTTGGGGGTGTTGGTGTGCAAGGGTGGTACCAAATACCCCTGATAGTTTGCATGCAACTCTTGGGTTCCATGTTCTCCAATCCCAGCCAACTCTATGGCCAAGGCTGGACCCAACTTACTATCTTCAATTGAAAAGAATTAAAGCAAATAATTTTTTATTTTTATTCTGTCTAAATGCCAAACTATGCAATGTTTCCCTGTTTTAGATCTCCATTCATAAGTCGTTCACAACAGGTTCTACTGAATGCAGAACTCATAAAATACTTGGAGAAACATTGTGCTGGCGAAGTCTGCATATTAAGTGCAAGAGAATGGATTAAAGATCACGCTGCTGCCTATATCAGCAAGGAACACCAGTCTTCTATTGTTCAGCAATCAAATCTTCAGAAATCAGAGAATGTTTTCACTAGACTGTGGATTTACAGTCATCACATTTATAACAAGCAAAAAAGAAAGAATATCATTGACTGGTCTAAGGAACTCTCACTGTCTGGATTCAGTATGCCTGGGAAACCAGGTATAATTTGTGTAGAGGGCCCACAGAGCAAGTGTGAAGAATTTTGGTCAAGGTTTGTTTTCCATACATACTATCTTTACTTTAGAGCTTTTTCTTTATATTTTTGAATGGTTAATTCCAGTAGTAAGGAATACTTAAAATTAATATATTCCCAAATTATTACTGTAGACCCACACGCCTCCTTCACATACCTACAGCTGATCAAAGATTAAGTTCAGGCTTTTAGATCCAAATTCATCATTACTGGTGTGCACTATATTTTATAATTACTAGAGAATATGTAGATTACATATAACACAAGTATATGGATAGAATATTCACATGAGCCCTTATAAGCTTTCCCTCTTAAGCAAATTGTAAGCCTTATTATCTGCTGGGATGTTTAGTATCTTCTTTCCTCACAAGTCTTGTCCCATTGCATATTTTATCCCTTTTCCCACTATAATCTTGATGTGACACAACCAATAACAATTTCAAAAACAAGGATTTACCATGACAAGAGGATAGACAGCTTCACAGGAGTTTATAGGAATGGAAATAGGGTAATTGATTGATATTAATAACCATACAGTAATAACATAACTTTATATGTTGAGTCCAGGGCAGGCTCTGTGATGTTGCAGTCCCAAGATTTTATTAGCATGATCCATAGAGTCCTTTCCAGCTCTGCAGTTCTAAGATTATTATTAAAATAAGCTTTCAGATTAAGGTAGCCTTGAGCCTGTTGTTGTTGCCTATATGTTTCTTGTGGTATTGTGGGAAGGGCAGTATTAGAATACTCGGAGAGTATTACCCAGTGGTAGATTACTCCTAGTTTTCAGCAGTGGTTAAGCAATATGATCATCCAGGATTATCTTATCTCTCCCATACACCTGTCTTTCAAGAGGGACTACTCAGCTTTAAGCTAATAGGGAAGCATTCCCCATCCACTGGCATTGAGATCTGACAGCATTATGAAGACTTTGTGTACACTAAGTGTACTAAAATGTTAGATAAATGATGTTCAGTCATTTAGAGATGAACATTTTTTCTGTGATCTATATGTATTTTAATGGTTAGAATATTTTAATAATAATAGATTTAGGTGTGTTATAATGGAATACTGTGAGATGATAAGGAAACAAAATATTTTGCTTCTACAAATACAGTGGTGTCCTGCTTAACGATTACCCTGCTTGATGACGAATCCACTTCCCGGCAATGTTTTTGTTATCGCAATTGCGATCACAAAACGATGTATTAATGACCTTTTTTCGCTTCCCGACAATCGGTTCCCTGCTTCGGGAACTGATTCTTCACATTACGACGATCAAAACAGCTGATTGTTGGGTTTTAAAAATGGCCGCCGGCTGCTCAAAATGGCTCTCTGCTGTTTTTAGGAGGCATTTTTCGCTGCATAGGCACCCAAAAATGGCTGCCCTATGGAGGATCTTCGCTGGATGCTGAGGTATTTTGCCCGATAGAATGCATTGAACGGTTTTCAATGTGTTTCAATGGGCTTTTTTATTTCACTTGACGAGGATTTCGCTCTACAGCGATTTCGCTGGAACGGATTATCCTCGTCAAGCGAGGCACCACTGTATGTATACTGTATATTTTTTTAAAAATGTTTTTAAATGTTTACTTCTGCCAGATAGCTCTGAAGGTCTACTTAGTGAGATAGTATTAATAGAAGGACTGAATCCAGATGTGTCTCTATTCTACAGATTTCTATGAGATTTTCTGCCTTTTTTCTTCTCTCTCCTAAGATTTGGCAACCACCAAAATGTCCTCAGTTTCTTCCTGTATAATTTTCTTTAATACTTTGCAGGAATTGATGCTGTTCTTCCCAGGGTTCCTTATTGGTACTTAGATAAGCCTTGTCTACTGCAGTGCAAGGAAACAATGGATTTTAATTAGATTGCCTCTGAGCATCAGTCACTATGGCCCCTTACTTCACCATTAAGAGCAGAAAAGCAAACAATGAAGGTTGTGATAACCCTTATTTTGCAGAAGCAAATCTACTTAGTTAACAATCCTTGTTTCCTGACTCTTCCTGCAGGGAGGAATTCAGTTGGTTGTTATGGCATTACATTATCACATAGCAAATTGAATTTATGGTTATGTTACCTGTCTGCTCTTCTTTGAGTTTCAATTCAGAATTATTTTTACAAGATTAAGTCTGGCTGTTATGCACTGCTTATGCAAAAAGTGTTATCCTCTGCAAGATTTTTCTACCTCTCTTGCTCTTGTCAATTTCCTGCTCTTGTTCTGATTAGTGTCAAATGGTTGTGTACCATCCCATGCAGGGATGACTAAGGATACAATTTGACTGAAATTGACAAGAGCAGCAAAGAAGTACAAAAGTTCTAGAACAAGAAGTAGGACAACTGTCAAACCTGATCCTGTGCAGGAGATTGACAAGAAAAACACAACAAACAAAAAGCCCAGTGATCAGCTTCTTTCCCTGCTGCTGTTCTGGGAAATCTCTTGGTCTCTGCAGTGTTGTAATAGGATTCCCAGCCAGATGAAATGTCAACATTTACAAGAATTCTATCCCTAAGTACTCATGATACCCCTAACTAGGAGTGACTGTAGCTGACTGAGATTTTTCTCAATTTGGTATACTTTCATTGTATTTAGGATCAGAAGATTGTCATGGCAGCGAATTTTAATCCGCCACCGAGAAGATATATCCTTAGAAGGAGCTGAAGATAAAATGGAGGATCAAAAGAAGTTTTCAACTTTTGAGGAAAAAATATTTGATGCACATGGTTCCAGAGGAAATCACATGGATTTGGGACAGTTATATCATTTTTTACTTGATAGGGGATGTGCTGATATATTTCAACTGTACTTTGGAGTTGAAGGACAGTGAATCATATTTTGTCAAACCTTGCCCCACCAAGAAAAACAATAGATTGTCAAAGACTTTGCTCCTTTATACCTGATATGTCATGTATACAGAAACAACTTTAAGAGGATATTTTAATGTTTATTAAAAAGATTAGAAATAATTTATTTGTCCTAATCATCATTTTCCATTTATTAATTCTGACCCTAAGCACTTGTGCAGCCTAATCTTTAGGTGTGCCTAAACTTTGCGTATTGCTAACATGCACTGGATTATGGAGAGAGCCAGAGGATTCCAGAAAAACATCTACTTCTGCTTCATTGACTATGCAAAAGCCTTTGACTGTGTGGACCACAACAAACTATGGCAAGTCCTTAAAGAAATGGGAGTGCCTGACCACCTTATCTATTTCCTGAGAAATCTATATTTGGGACAGGAAGCAACAGTTAGAACTGGATATGGAACAACTGATTAGTTCAAAATTGGGGAAAGAGTACAATATACAAGGCTGTATATTGTCTCCCTGCTTATTTATATGCAGAATACATCATGCGAAAGGCTGGAATGGAGGAATCCCAAGCCAGAATTAAGATTGCCGGAAGAAATATCAACAACCTCCGATATGCAGATGATACCACTCTGATGGCAGAAAGTGAGGAGGAATTAAAGAACCTCTTAATGAGGGTGAAAGAGGAGAGCGCAAAAATGATCTGAAGCTCAATATTAAAAAAAACCCTAAGATCATGGCCACTGGTCCCATTACCTCCTGGCAAATAGAAGGGGAAGATACGGAGGCAGTGAACGATTTTACTTTCTTGGGCCCCATGATCATTGCAGATGGTGACAGCAGCCACGAAATTAAAAGACACCTGCTTCTTGGGAGGAAGGCGATGAGAAACCTAAACAGCATCTTAAAAAGCAGAGACATCACTTTGCCGACAAAAGTCCACATAATCAAAGCTATGGTTTTCCCGGTAGTGATGTATGGAACTGGACCATAAAGAAGGCTGACCCCCAAAGAATTGATGCTTTTGAATTGTGGTGGTGGAGGAGACTCTTGAGAGTCCCCTGGACGGCAAAGAGAACAAACCTATCCATTTTGAAGGAAATCAACCCTGAGTGCTCACTGGAAGGACAGATCCTGAAGCTGAGGCTCTAGTACTTTGGCCATCTCATGAGAAGAGAAGACTCCTTGGAAAAGGCCCTGATGATGGGAAAGTTTGAAGGCAAGAGGAGAAAGTGACAATAGAGGATGGAGATGGTTGGACAGTGTCATTGAAGCTACCAACATGAATTTGACCAAACTCTGGGAGGCAGTGGAAGACAGGAGGGCCTGGCGTGCTCTGGTCCATGAGGTCATGAAGAGTTGGTTACGACTTAATGACTAAACAACAACAACAAACAAGTTTGGGTTTTAGAAATACATTTGAAATACCATTTGTGTGTCTGATGTATGCATGAAAATCCTGTACATAGAACCTACTCTATTCATTGTAATAATAATTGTGTGCCATCAATCAATTCTGACTTGTGTTACCATTTTCAGGGTTTTCTAGGTAGCGAGTACTCAGAAGTGGTTTGCCATTCTTCTGGTGGCATCCTGGGATTGTGCAGCTTGACCAAATCCACACAGACTGGCTCTTCTTCCCAGAGGCACTGTGGGGAAACAAACTCCTAACCTCTGGCTCTGCAACCAGAAACTTGGATAGCTCAGTGGCTTAGGTCTCTGGCTGCGGAGTCAGAGGCTGGGAGTTTGGTTCTCCGCTGTGCCTCCTTGAGGGGGATGGACTCGATGATCCATAGGGTTCCTTCCAGCCCTGCAGTTCAAAGGTTATTATTATTAACTCACTCAGCTATTCATACAGCTGCTGCATACATAGCAAATATTAAATGTCTTCTCAACCCACTCAAGATTTATATATTTAGCATTACTGTTTCCACTTCAGATAAAGCAAAACTATATGGGCAGTTTTGTGTTTTTGTCACTTATGATAAGCAAAAATATCTACAAGATGGATTGCTGCTATACCTCTTACAATAGCTGCTTCTCCAGTTCTAGTGTATGGGCCCTCAAATACATGAATATATGATGTGTAAGTCCTAATCCTGTTGAAAACTTTTCAGCATAAAATCATGCCAACACTTCAAACAATCTTCAGCAAGATCCCAGTTTTTAACCCAACCTGCTTGCACATATATAGAGACAGGAGGAGGTAAAGATGAAAGAAACAACCCACTACATGGGTGAGGGAGAGATTCATCTGGATGGGAGAGTTTTCTGCCCCCAAGGGAACTTGCAGTTCTGACACAGAGGAATCAACAGAAGTTGAGGAAAGCAGAGGCATGTTGGAGGGGGTGGCTAAGTTGTTTCAGTTACATGTACTTGAGATGTATATCAGATGTGTAGGTAAACAGAAGAAATCAGAAGACGACTGATAGTAGGAGAGGCAATAATGAAGGGACTAGAAAAGATCATCAAGCATAAGGATGTGACACAGAAGACCAACACCATCCACACTCTTGTCTTTCCAATCACCATGTATGAGTGTGAAAGCTGGACAGGTAAGAAAGCTGATAAGAAAAAGAATCATTTGAAATGTGGTAGTGGAGGAGTTTTGCAAATACAGTGGTGCCTCGCTTAGCGATTTCATTGCTAAGCGAAACGAGGTTTCCCATTGAAATGCATTGAAAACCAGATAATCCGTTCCAATAGGAATGAATTGCTGTCCTTAAGCGAAAATCGCCATAGGAAACAACGCTAAGCGAAACACAGTTCCCCAATTGAAATGCATTGAAACCTCAAGGGGGGGGGGGAATACTGTACAACAACAAATTAAAAAAGGAAAATCGCCATAGGAAACAACGCTAAGCGAAACACAGTTCCCCAATTGAAATGCATTGAAACAATGGGGGGGGGAATACTGTACAACAACAAATTAAAAAAGAGAACAAAGTCAAATTTGGTTAAGTGCACTTTATGATTTCAAACATTTTAAACAGTAAACTTTAACTTTATAAATAACAGAAAAACATTTAAAAAACAGCAAACATGAGGCTGTTTAAACCATTGTTAAGCGAAACGGGACCCAAAATTTAATTGCTATGCGAAGCATGGTCCCAACCATCGCTAAGCGAAAATCGCCCATAGGGACCATCGCTAAACGAAGCGCAAAACACTTAGAAAAGGTCATCGCTAACCGATTTTGTCGCTAAATGGAGCGCCCGTTAAGCGAGGCACCACTGTATCCTGAACTGCCAAAAAGACAAAACAAGTGGGTTCTAGATCAAATAAAGTCTGAACTACCTCTGGAGGCAAAAATGTTGAAGCTGTGGTTGTCCTACTTTGTGTACATCTTGAGAAGGCAAGAGTATGGAAAAGACAGTAATGCTGGGAAAGATGGAAGACTGCAGAAAAAGCAGACTAAATATTAAATGGGTTGACTCCCTTAAAGGAAGCCACAGGCTAAAGTTTACAAGGGCTGAGCAGGGCTGTTCGGGACAGGACATTTTAGAGATCAATACAGGACCACCATAAGTCTGAAGCAACTTGATGGCATATAACAATACAAAATTGATTAACCCTCAACAATGGGTACTGTTTTGAGTTCACTGGCAAAATTAAAGAGAAGGCAAATGCCTTATGGAATTAATTCAATAAATTTTCATACTTAGTAAGGTCTTTTTTAAGGCATCCTTCAGTCTCCAGATACTATGGTAACATGCTCTGAATCGAGGTCTTGGGACAGCCTCTGGTATGGCTGAGAAGGCCAATTCGAGAGCAGCAATCCTTTCCAAACTGAAGACAAATACAATCTGTCCCCTGTCCAGCTCCCTGATTTTGAAGGTTTTGGGCCTGGGCCTGCTGAACAAGGGTCTTGTTCGAATTGGGAGAGGCCATGATGATGCACCGCCTGCCTCCGGGATGAACGCGCAGATGTCAAAAGTTTCCCATCTGTTGAGGTCCATCTCCGGGATGAAAGCGCAGATGTCAAAGTTTCCCATCTGTTGAGGTTCATTCCTAAGGCCTTCAGAAAAGAAAAATTAAGACAAAAAGTTCCTGGCACTTTTATTAAAGGTCAACAGTTAACATAAGAGACGCAATTCTGAAGGGAAATAATCCCAAAATGAAATGATTGGGGTGAAGAAAGCACATGTCAGGAAGCAGTGACTTTCCCTCCGCCTTCAGAGAACCTTTTCCCCGCCTTTTTCCCGCCCTAGGCGGGGCTCCGCCGGCGGTCGTCGGGACGGGAGGGGAGGAGACTCGGCTCGTTTTCGCTTCCTTCGCTCACCCCGGAAGCGCCATTTCTTCGCCCCTTCTCTCGCGCGGGGCCGGCGGGGTCTCGGTTGGGCGGCTGCTGTTGCTGCTCCTCGTTCCCGACGTCGTTGGCGGTCGCCCGCCGCCGCCGCCGCCGCCGCCATGGGAGGCAAGAACAAGCAGCGGACGAAGGGCAACGTGCGGGTGGGTGAGCGAGGCAGCGCCGTGGGTGGCGGGGGAGCTGTTGTCTCTATCGGGGGCCGGCGATCGCCTCTTTCTCCTTCGCTCCCGCCCGCTATTAGGCTTGGGGGGGGGGTTATTCTTGTCCCAGGCCAAGGTGACAGCATTTGCCGCGAGGCTGGACGAGGCTCATGTTTTCTTTCTCTTTTTTTACTGACACGTGTCGGAATTGGTTCGTCCAGCCCTTTACTCCGAGGGCGTGTGCTTTTCTTTCAAAAAACAAAACCGTGTTCTCTAAATCGCGGTCTAAATCGCCACGCGAAACTTCCATGAGTGAAAAAAAAAAGCCTAGTAAGGTTTTGGGCCCTTCTTTTGGCTAAACATCTGATCCGGAAATGGAAAATGTATTTATTATCTTTGGGATCACATGGTTTAAAAGCATAATGGTCGGAGGGGAAACTGACAGGTTTTTGGTCTGGTGTGTTGATCTAGGAGGTTGTGGCTCACTGGCAACTGTATGGTACTGGTGGCCCATACTGTACATGGATTTGTACTTTTATAGTTTAGTAGACTAGCTTTCCTTCATATTTCTTATATGAGTTTGACGGCCCACTTTGTCATAAACATGCAGTGAAAATAAAGGACTTGCCTTAGCCACAGGCTGACTTTCCCAGATTTTAATTGTGAGTTCAAATATATGTGTTGGTGTCTGTGATTATGATATTTTGTGGAAAGTCTGGCAAAGAAGAGTGCTGGATAAAAAGAAGAAACCAAGTGTGCCTTCTTAGTGTTTCCACCCACTGGACCTGTCAACCAGAAGGGGTTTTTGGATCTTGTATTTACCCATGACATGCCCCTGATCTGTCCTGGTTTTGTCACTGTCTGCAGTGTAGAGGTAAGGGCCACAGGGGTTTCTACAGTGTGGTTGTTTCTTCCAGCTTTCCATGGAATCAGTGGCAATTTGGGAAATGCACTTACAGTATATGAAATCCTGATGATCCAGTGCATTTATTCTCTTTGGCCCTACTAACACTTGGATTTAAGCCTGAGAGGTTAGATGCATAATAGCTCCAGTCGTGAAAGGGGTGATCTTACCTGCCCTGTAGTCCCAGGGACCGTAGGATTGCAGTGTTGGTGCCCTGCACAAGAGATACTGATGGAGGTATTTTTTGGTGGCAGATATTGGATTTATATCTGTCAGAAGAAGGATGTTCTGTACAGTATTCCTTTCTCTTTCTTATAAATAGCCCTCCAGCAGTGGTAGAGCAGCAGAACTTCTGGCCAAAGAGAGAGGAACTGTTCCTGGGTTCATTGGCTTTGGCACATCGGCAAGTGACCAAGGATATGTTCCTGCAATTCAAGGAGCTGAAGAAATAGATAGCCTTGTAGATGCTGATTTTCGAATGGTGCTGAGAAAACTTTCCAAAAGAGATGTCACAACCAAGTTAAAGGTAGGTTTGTTATATTGTTGTTTTAGGTCCAGCACTTATTTGCCATAAGTAGCACTTACAAGTTGTTGTTTTTAATGTGTTGGGTACTCTTAAAGCATCTTTAACAATGTACTTGAGAATATGAATACTTTGAAGAATTAGCTAGTTACTTTAAGGTAATTTGAAAGAAACAATGTTTCATTGTTGGCACTGATATTTTGTTCAATTGGGTTAAGCATTACTTTTGCACTGTGGGAAGTAAATTGGATTCTTACTGTGTTATTATTTGCACACAACATTTATCAGTTACCAAGGATGTAAAAGAAAAAGCAATGTAGGTTTTTTAAATTCTATTTTTATTTTTGAGAGCAGTTCAATTGTATGTTTGTGTGTGTGTGTGCACGCATGCACAAATACCCATAACACTCATTCCTCCCAGGCTTTGCTACTGAGGGCAGCCTCTCTGAGAGAAGCGAAGAAGGCCTCAATGAGGATCCAGACCTTCTTGGTGGCAGCCCCATCTCTATGGAACAAATTTCCAATAGAAGTGCCCCAGGCCCCCTCCCTCTGCGTATCCAGAAAAGGCAGAATTTTTCAAAACTGACATTAAGAATATACTGATATTTGTGAGAAATGCCTCCTTTCAGCACGGTAGAATCCCAGCCTGCTTAAAGGAGGGAGTAGTAAGACCATTGTTGAACAAAAAACACCCTTCCCTGCAAGATTCCCTCTAAGCCACACACGTGTGCAACTTCACTTTCTTCCTCTTCCGCATAGCGCTCACTTCCAACCTGTTTGGTTCTGGTCACAACAGACCCCAATGTGCAGGGGGTTGAGTTATGTTTGCATGCAGAGGCAAAGTCATGCTTGCGAGAGGCGGAGTAGGGCTGAACATTATAGTGTATGTTGCTTCCATGGATCCCATAGCATTGGATAATTATGGGACAGTCTCCAACATTCCATTCCTGGACAAGATGCTAGCTAGAGGGAGCGAGGTGCTGGAGGGGACAGGTGCCAAATTGTGGATTGGTAGAGAAAACCACCAAACAAATTCAAATAAGCAGATACTATTCCCACAAATATCAAACCGATTATATGCTTAGGAATGGAGAGGTTACTAGCTCATGATGTTTCACCAGGAAAGATTTCTATAGGATGAGTCAACAGTATGTCTAAATACAGTTAAAATCATTGTCACTAAATTGCATAGGAACATTCTTAATGGAAAATAAGTTCCACTTAATTTGGACCTCTTGTTGAACTTGGTTGCAATGACTTATTTCATGTTCTAAATTTTTACTATTTTTAATTTTAGGCTATGCAGGAATTTGGGGCAATGTGTAAGGAGAGAGAAACAGAAATTGTTAAAGGTGTTCTACCTTATTGGCCTAGAATTTATTGCAAAATTTCTGTTGTAAGTACTGAAATTTCTGGATTATGACAAATATTGACTGTGTTTTGCCTCTCAGAACTGCTACAATAATGATCAAAGGAATTACTGCAACTTTTTATTTGAATATGAGAGAAAGAACAGTGTTTTAAAGTGTCTTAAACCTGAATTTTAAAGTTTGATATAGAATATCTGCATTTTATGATTTAGTTGTACTTAAAGATATGTGAAAGCAATTATATTCAAGTCGTCTCTGCATTTAATTAATTTTTTTATGTTAAGAGATGGATTCTGATAGAAAAATAGTTCTCATTTGTGTGGCTGTGTAATATGCGATAAAATGTGTGCATATGTACAGATGTGCCCATAAGTCTATACTGTCATCTGTATAACTTGCAGTATTTGTTATAGGATCACGATCGACGTGTACGAGAAGCAACACAGCAAGCTTTTGAACAACTTATTCTGAAAGTTAAGAAACATTTGGCTCCTCATTTAAGAAGTATTATGGGATATTGGCTCATAGCACAGTGTGATACTTACTCTCCTGCTGCATCAGCTGCTAAAGTGGCATTTGAAAAAGCATTTCCACCAAGTAAACAACCTGAGGCCTTAATATTTTGCAAAGATGAAATTCTGAATGTGAGTTTTCTCTTTTGTATAACTATATTAAAGTTTTAAGTAGATAGGGTTTTTGAAGATTTTACAAATCATCGGACAGAAATACATTATGTTTGGAAGTCTATATTATTCTGTTGCTGATTATTTCAAATATAGTTTATATTATAGCTTGTATTTTCTACAGCACTGGAGGAATAGACTGTTTTGTAATAAAAGTTGACCATTCTGATACAGCAGACATCAGTGGCTTCACAAATTCAGTTATAATTATTGGCCTGTATAACTTAGCTCTGTCAACAGAAAATTGTTCACTTTATTTGGGTTAGTTCTCTGATGAAATGGACTTGTCCATGAAAGCTCACATTAACAAACATGAAAGTTAGTCTTTAAGGTGCCATCATGTTTTTCTTTTTCTTTTTTATTTTCTATTTCTATTTCGCTTTTACCTACAATGCTTGCACAGACTAACATAGCTACCCCTTCAACAAATCCATCAATAATTTCTTACTCCCAGTTCTTTTATAATAGCAGCAACAAACTGATTTGCTCTAAGTTATGTTGCAGGGTATTTTTCTAAAGCAGTTTTGAATTGTATCCTTTTGGTCATAGATTTCAGGATTCCAGCAAAAAACAAAGTAGTGCAGATCCTACTGGATATTTGCATACACTTGAGAGGGATCATGGCTAATGATGTGGCTAATTGACAAGATGCTGAACCTATGCCTGATGTGCAGTTGGTCACGGAACCAGGCACATGAGTGACATGCAACTGGCACCTTGTCAATTAACCACAATAACTACTGCAAATCCTATTATGCCTGTGTAAATATCCAGTAAGATTCTGGCCTATAGATCTTGCAGAAGTCCTCCCATCCCAAACTTACAGTTTGAACAATTAGAAATAGAAATATAATGTTGTGCTTTGCCACCTTTTTTATAAACAGACAAAATGTTTATTGTGCAATCAACAGATTATTACAGTACATCTCTTTTATGACTTCCATTAATTTCTTCTGTGAAAATTACAATTTTCCCCAGTTAAGGAATTTAATATTTTTAAATTTTTGTTCAGGTGCTACAAGATCATCTTTTGAAAGAAACACCTGATACACTGAGTGACCCACAGTATGTACAGCTATGTATGCAATATATGTATGTTCTACAGAAAATAATAAATTTATATCCATTTACAATGGCTATGTAAGACTAAGGAATAAAGATGCTCCGGATCTGTCATGACAGAGAACAGCACTGCATCTCCTAGTTCATGGCTTTGTGTGTATACATTGACCTTTCTGTGTGAGCAGACTTCCTCAAATACTTCAGTGGAAAAGGACGGATCAGCTCACATCTTCTGTGCATACTGGTTTTTTTCCACCTGTGCATGGAAAGTCCTTAGAGTTGTAGTAATTCTGTGCACAGTTCATATCTCTCTTGTCCATAGAGAACTGCTGGATCAGAGCAGTAGCCTGTTCAGTCCAGGGCCTTGTCTCTGCTGTTTCTTTGTCAATACAATTTGAGCTATAAATTTAGATTGCCTGTGTGAGACATTGTACATGATGGATTGTTTCTACGTGAGGCGTATTCAACATTCAGAGTGAACTTACAAATGAATTGCCTCAGTCAGTGAAATATTGATGGTCTACTACCCACTGTGGTCAGTGGATGGAGTGATGGTCTAAGGCTCTGGAGTCCAGATTATAAATGAGAGATGAAGTCTCAGGATGTAGAAAATAGAATCAAGCTCTTTATTCTGTATTTCTTTAAATGAGTCATTAAAAAGCTCTCTCTCAACGCGTTTTGGTGAAGCCTTCTTCAGGAGCTAAGCATAACACAAAACCACGCATTAGATATTGAATCATTCACATTTTCTTTTAAATATATATAAGATAACCAGCCCAGCAGTGTTATCATCATAAAGGGAGAAAGTCTATTTCCAGGACCATACAATAAAAATTTTGGTTGCTTGGGCCATGGACATAGTTCCTGGAAACTGTGAAAGGCCTTTACTAAAAAGGGAAATTGACTGGATCCTGAAATTGAACACCCTAGTTGTACCTCATGGGTCAAACAAAGAAATAGACTTTCTCTCTTTATTATGATAACACTGCTGGGCTGGTTATCTTGCCACTCTGTATATATATTTAATAAAATTTTATTTTATTAAATATATATATATATATAAAGTGAATGATTCGATATCTAATGTGTGATTTTGTGTTATGCTTAGCTTCTGAAGAAGGCTTCGCCAAAACATGTTGAGCGAGAGCTTTTTAATGATTCATTTAAAGAAATACAGAATAAAGAACTTGATTCTATTTTTTCCATCCTGAGACTTCATCTCTCATTTATAATCTGGACTTCCATAGATGTACCAATTTTTTGTGTGTGTTTGTTTCTAAGACTCTGGAGACCAGCATTCAAGTTCCTGTTTGGCCATGGAAACTCACTGGTGGGTGGAACTGGTGAAACCACTTACCTTGAAAGCCCGATTAAAGTCACTATAAGTTTGGTCTGGCTTGATGGCACATAATTGATTAGCCTATCCTTATTTATTTGTAACAATGTTTCTCATAGACCTCTGTGATTGTTTCCTTAATACAGTATATACATGCAGTATAAGACAATTAAAAGTTAGAGAAGGTCTAGTTTTCAAGTGAAGTTACATATATTCATTCTATCTTCTCTGCCCAGAACTGTGCCAGAGGAAGAAAGGGAAGCCAAATTCTTTCGAATTCTTACCTGTTCTTTGCTAGCTTTGAAGAAACTGCTTTGTATGTTGCCCAGTGATGAGAATTGCTCACTAGAGGAGAAGCTTAAACCTCTATTGGCTCAAAACAAATTTTGGAAGTATGGTGAACACAACACACCACTGGTATGTTAAGTTTAGTATTTATTTGCACCCTTCCCGCACACACACACAAAAAAACAGAGCTAAAAAAATAATCAAGAAGTTCTGTAGCGAAAGACCTGTTGTAATCTCTTTAATTTTATTCACAACATTTTTGCTTTATTCATAGCCATTGCAGCTCTATTCGGCGCTAGCCTCTCTGTATTTATGAGATTTAGTTCAGAGTAGCTCTTAACAACTCTCACTCTCCTCTCCATGGGGGTGGCTGTTAAATTAGTAATGTATGTTCCTCTTTGACCTGCTAAAAATTGCATTCCGTGTTTTTTTTATACTTTGTTGTTGTTTAGTCATTAAGTCATGTCAGGCTCCTTATTTGTTTGTTTGTTTATTTATTTATTATTTAATTTATATCCTGCCTATCTGGTCAGTTATGACCACTCTAGGCGGCTTACAACGTAAATAAAATATACATAAAATATACAATTGAATATGAAATTATTAACATAATGAACAAGAGACAAATTCAACAAGATGGAAAAAGAACAGAAGGGGAAGGAAGGGAAGGAAAACATCAGGGGCTAACTGGGGGGAAGGCCTGCCAAAACATCCACGTTTTAAGTTAATTTTTAAAGGTACCCAGCGAGGGGGCCACGCGAATCTCCGGAGGTAGGTTGTTCCAGAGGCTAGGAGCCACCGCCGAGAAGGCCCAGTTTCTTGTTTTTTCCTTCTGGGCCTCCCTCGGCATCAGGCTCCTCAGCCTCACCTCCCGACTCACACAAGTGACACGGGTAGAACTTGGTGGGAGTAGGCGTTCCGCCAAGTATCGAGGCCCTAAACCATTTAGGGCTTTGTACGTAAGCATCAAAAATTTGAAGTCTTTCATGATTTTATTGTATACTTTAGTGGTGTACAAAACTTATAAACATCATGCTTGAGTTCTTAAAGCATTTTGCCAGAGTCCTATTGGTTAGTTACACTGTCATTAGTGTAGCGGTATAAATTGCAGTAGCAAATTGCAGTTATGGAAGAAGTTGCTTCTTGTATTCTTCATCATGTACCAAGACATGGGGTGGCATATGATATAAGATACAAACAGCAGTCTGTTCACTAGTAGCAAGTTTCTACAACATTTGTGCTGGCATAATTAAGCAGGAAAATTCTGGCCTTTCTCTGGGGAAAGTTCCTTTAACTTGAGTAGGCTAAGAGCACTGCTGGTGATTGTGTTGCCTGTTTTGTTTAAGGATTGCAAAGCTCTTGAATTTGTCGTCTGCAAAACATTTTCTCTGGAATATCATTACTAATGTCAAAGAGGTAGCTTCAAACAAAGTGCTTCGTGGATTGTAGTTCTATGAAGAGTATTCTGTTTTATGCAGGAATCCTTCATGCTAAGTCTAGACCTTCCTTAGAAATTAAATCTGTTACCAACATCCTTTTAAAATTATATTTAAGTGTTTCTGGTGCATGTTGCCTTGTAGCTTTAAGTAAGCTTTGGGTCTGAATTTTCCTTCTCTTTGCCCCCTATCATTTAACAAGCCATGGTTGAAACCTAAAAGAATTTCCAGAGTTCTTCAGCTTCAGATCAGGAGAGAGGGGGCAGAACCTCAGAATGTTACTGTGCATATGTATACACAGGTTTTTGAGATCTCAGGTCTTGAGGATGTATAGATGTTAGTAGGTTGCTAAAAAAAAAGAACGGTACAGGGTGTCCAGTATGGAGGGGATAACAGTATTATAGGTCCTTGCCTTTGCTTGAAAGGATCTATGTTTTCCTCTTTCCTCTCTTTCAGGTTCGTTCAGCTTTTTTTGAGCTGATTTCTACTTTTTGCCAGCACATCCCTAAGTCCATGAGTGCTGAGGCATCCAGAGTTTGCCCATCAGTTCTTCTCAGTATTGATGACAGTGATGCAGTGGTGTGTCCCGCCCTTTGGGAAGCTGTACTTCATGTCCTTACTACTATTGAGGTAATGTAAGAAACTTATACGAAGGCATTATTCTTTAGATTTCTTAGTCATCTTTCTGATTGTACTTCTGCATAAAAAAGTAATATTGTTTAGCGAGCAAACACAAGCCTGCTTCTAACATGTGTTGTAGTCCAAGATGTATAAAAATTAGCAGGTTGGGAAAATATTGTTCTGGAGTCACCTACACATAAGGAAGTTTTGAAACTATAACTCACATAAATTACATATTGCTTTAAATAAATAGCTTTAATCTGGCTGAAGTCCTGTTGTGCAGTCATGCAAAATTAGTAACTTTTAGCAGCAAATTGTAGTAAGTTAATAAATCTCTATAGGCATTACCAATTGCATGCTGAGTCATGTGGCTAAAAGTTACTTATTTTGCATGACTACACAATAGGATTTCTGCCCTTGATTCTTTGGTTATGAATGTTTATTTCACTGTTCCTCTTTCTAGGATTATGGTAAGGAGACCTTTGATGATTTTAATAATAGTTGTGTAAAGTGTGCATTGTGATAGATAAACATACTTTACAGAAATGAGAAAAGTAGTATTTTGCTAAAATGCCTGTATGTGCAACATTCCTAAATGTTTACTGGAAACCTGAGCATCCTTGCATGTTATGACTCTCTTTCTTGAGCAGTAAAGTATGAAAACAATAGTGATGCCCTTATTAAATGTATCATGTTTGGAATACACCCACATCTGGCTTCTATCCCACTCATTCAAGACTGATGGTTCAGAAGGTGCAGTCCTGCTCATATTAGAGGATAAATTTATGGAGAGGTTTTGCTGTAATTTCTTTGTGTGAGGAAGAGCATTTATCTTTAGGCTTAATATTAGGTTGCCTAGCCTCAACATTCTGTAATTAACTTCTACACCTTAAAATATTCTGTAGGATTGCTGGAGTCATGTGAGTGCAAAAAAAGGAGTTTTGCCAAAATTGTGGGTAGTGCTTCGCGAAGGAGGACGAGGTCTTGCCACTATTATATATCCTAATCTCCTGCCATTTATTAGCAAGATACCTCTTGGTGTTACAGAACCAAAACTGGACTACTGGAGAACATTTTTTACTTCAATAATTCAAGGGTATGAAGTACTAGTTTTTTTAAATTGTTCACTTAAGTAGACTTGTATGTTTATTTGGAAAATGAAAATGTATCATATTTTCACAGACTTGAAACTTGAGAAGCCAAACATCAAGGTTTTGTTTGCATATACCTGTCTGTAATAATAATTTGATTGGTATTCATTTTATTTTATTTTATTTTTTTCTGTTTTTCTAATTTCAGTCTGTGTTGTAATTATAGATGCTTTAGCTTTGATTTTCATCTATATTGTCGTATCTAATTTGTGTGTTTTAAAGCTAGTTACAGCATCATGATTTAATCAGATTTAAAAGAGGAAACGAGTCAGAATGTTTGTTTGTTTAGGTTACTAACTGAAAGAGCTCTGGCTTGCCGTTCAGAATGTTCAGCAATCGTATCAACAATTATGGAATGTTTACAGTTTACAATATCACAGAATATTGGTGAAGAAGAAGAACGAGTCAAAATACAAGAAATGCTTATAAATGATCAGGTATTTAGTTATGAGGATCTTAGAATTGTGTCTTGATTATTTTTAAAACTAATTAATGTTTAACTTTTAGTTAATTGCCGAAATGTTTGTCATAAAGTGTCTGAAATGGCGAGGATTTTCAAAAGGAAGACCAAAAAGTCCCATTGAGGCATGACTGTGTGATTGCATCCAACTAAAGCCAATGTAGTCAAATCTGTGGCTTTTAATGGGTGTCAAGATGTATCATGCAAGGAAACCTGTGCAATATGTTGAGGCAATCAGGCTATATTTGCCTTGCTTTTCACTGATCATTGTGTTTCTGTGACATAGCGGGTGAGGGAGCGTTTGCCTGGGTGCTTCAGCAACCCGGATACACCTTTGCACAGTGGGCAAATTGTCTTTCTGTGCCCCTGGAAAAACATCAATTGTGGATCCTTTTTTTGTGCAGCTCAGCACTCAACCCACTATTTTTCTATTCATAGTTAATTGTCCTCATTGACATGGTGATGAAGGAGCCCAAGCTACAAAATGGACCTTTGTTTTATGAAGTAACAAAGACTTTACATTTTTGGGAAGGAAGAGCAGAAATTTCAAATGGCAGCGAAACGGTTCACACATTCCAGAGACTATTGCTGAACTTTTGGGAAAGCCTTTCGAATATCTGTGTGCGACATGTTGATGTAGTAGATCCAGATGAGAAAGCTTTGGCTGCTATATCCTCTTTGTTACAAATCCTTAAGAATTCTGAGAACAAAGCAAAAGCAAGCCAGAAAAAAACTGTGAAGATCAGGTTTGCTGAAGAGGACGAAGCTGAAAGCAACACTGAACAGAGTTGTGTTGATATGACAAATAACAATGAGCTCAGTCCTCTTATTCCTGAGATTCGTGGGCAGCATCTTTCCTCTCTACGGAAGGAGCCTTTGGAAGATTTAGTTTGTAAACTTGCAGAACTCAGTATTGTGTATACCAATGAACAAAGGTCTGATAAACACTTAAAGTTTCTTTCTGCTCTGCTTAGTGATTTTGCTTCTAGTAGAGTTTTCCAGGTTCTGTTGAAGGATGGGAGCAACATTCAGGAAGATGTAAAGCTTCAGTATGAGAATCCATCTATCCAATTTCTGTATGACCGCCTAGTTGATTGGCTGAAGGAAGACATGAGAAAAGAGACCGATTTCTTGGTTGATATTTTGTATAGTGTCCTGCAGTGCTGTAGCACTGTTACAGAAAGAGAAAATATTCTCAATGATTTAACAAAGGTACTGCTCCTTTAACTTTAATTTAATTTTTAATTTTAATGTGGACTGATTTTGTGGACTGTAGTTAAACAAGAAACAAATAAAACAATTAAAAATTCAGTTTTACAGTAGGGATAAATTATTTTGCATATTTTGGGTTAGAAGTGGAAGAAACTTAAACAGATTTTTGAATAGCCTTTGAAAATTCAATTGTTGCTGGTCAGGTTCATTGTCTGAGCCAGTATCCTGTTGCAATCTCCAGAAAGTGTAGACCCATTGGCTGAAATCCTGTTTCACAGCTATGAGTGTAACATGAAGCTATAGAAGTGTTAGCAAAAACTGCAGCAGGGCAAAAGCAATATTCATGAATCGCTGCTGCTGTAGGCATGCCCTGCAACAGTCCTGACAATTGCATGCAACTAGTTGTGCAGCTGCAATATGAACTACACAGTTGTGAACCATGCAGTCAGTTGTGGAGTTATGATGTGAACCTTCCTATCAGATGTGCAACACTGGCTGCTTGGGCTTAAGGCAGATTTCCTCAGCTAAAACAGGATGTCAGCCATTGTATCCGTTGTTGAATGGTAAGCCAGTACTTACGTAGGATAGCTCAGTGGTTTAGGTCTCTGGCTGTAGAGTCAGAGGCTGGGAGTTCGGTTCCCCACTGTGCCTTCTTGACAGGCGCTGGATTTGAGGATCCATAGGGTCCCTTCCAGCTCTGCATTTCTAAGGTTATAAGATTATAAGTACATTCTGTTGAGTGAGTGGGTTTATTCCTTTTTGGGCCAATGGTAGAATATTGGTCCTTACCAATATTTGATTTCCCACCAAAGATAGTCCTCGAGTGATTTACACACACAAAAATACCCTTTAAAATTCAACACAATGAAATTAACAAATATTAAACTAATACTATACAATTCCTCCAGGGCACCACAGTGTATTAGTGAAATTGGCAACAGAACCAGCATTTTAAACAAAATCATACCTATCACAGGTGACGCCTGTAACTAGTATTGAAGACCCATGGAAATAACTTACATAGGAATAAGTAAAAAAAAAATTGAGTGTTCACACTGTTGAAGCTTTCTCCTTTCCTTGAATGTTTCAGATGAATCTGAAATGGAATATACTTCTTCAGATCATTCAAAAGGTAGGTTAGACATTTTTATTCTTGTTTTTTTTTAATCTGATATTTTTGGATCAAGAGAAGCACAAAGCTACTTCAGACATAGGTTTTGTTTTTGATATTTCCCTCATTGTGGGAACTCCATAGTGTTCCACTCCTTGTGGAGTGGGTGAAGAGCAAGTGATGGACAGCAAAACCAGCTGGTGCTCCTCCTCCTCCATCCACGGACAGAAATTTATACACATACAGTGGTGCCTCGCTTAACTATTGCTTCGTACAACGAAAAATGCACTTAACGATAGCTTTTTCGGAGCGATCTTGCGCTTCACTTAACGATTTTCCCTATGGGTGATTTTCGCTTAACGATTTCGGGACCATGCTTCACTTAACGATGACAGTTTTAGGTCCCCTTGTTTCGCTTAACTTTTTTTTTACAGCCCTGTTTTTGCTATTTTTAAAATATTCAAAAATGTTTAAAATGCTTGGAATCGTTAGTGCACCTAATAAAACCTTCGTTAACTTAATTTGGCTTTGTTCTGAGTCTTTTTGAATTTTTTGTGAATTTTTTCCCCCATTGAAATAGGCTTCAATGCATTTCAATGGGTTTTGCTTAACGTTTTTTCCTATTGGGATTTTTGCTTAAGGATGGTAATCCATTCCAATTGGAACGGATTATCCGGTTTTCAATGCATCTCTATGGGAAATGGTGTTTCGCTTAACGATGTTTTCACGTAGCGATGTTTTTTTGGAACCAATTAAAATCGTTAAGCGAAGCACCACTGTATTATCTGGCTCTGGCATACTGTATCACCCACTTTTCTCTTGGTTACAGTTAACATGATGGGTACATGTTTACTACTTCCATAGATGTTTATAATGAGCTGTGGAGTTTATCTGAATACTTTGGAAAGAAAATCTTTGGGTATTTGTTTATATCATTAGGCCTGTTCAAGCCCAGAGAAACATTCCTTAACTTCCAACTGGCTAAAAGGAGATGTGTTGGGTGAGAAGCTTGTAACTCTGACAGATGATTTGTGCAACACGAGCTTGAAAACAACAGCATCTTCTGCAGAACCCTTTCATTCAGAAAGATGGGCGCTCCTAAGCTTGGTGTTATCTCAGGTGATTAAAAATGGTAGGTGGCCTTGGTTTTCCTGATGAGGTGGGAGGAGAATAAAGAAATGAGGGACTTCTTTCTTTCTTTCTTTCTTTCTTTCTTTCTTTCTTTCTTTCTTTCTTTCTTTCTTTCTTTCTTTCTTTTTCTGGCTGTGGAAATGCTTGCTGAAGGCCTTCTTTAGAGAGGATATAACTTGCAACATATCTCTTTCAATCAATAGAGTCCTTAATTGGTGAAGTTTACGTTAAAAGGATTATTGATAAACTTCAAGCAGCTCTGTCTAAAGCTAAAGATCTTTCAGAAGCTGGAAATACTGAGCCATCGGTGTCTTTCATCTGCGACATAGCCTCTAACTTTTTTAGCTCAGTGAAGGGATGCTTATTGATGCCATCATCAGAAGATTTGTTGTTTACCATTTTTCAGTTATGTGCACAGAGCCAGGAGACAACCCATTTGTCAGGTACTGCACAATAACTATTGTTTAGCCAAATAACACACACCAATTCATGTGTATTACTTTTATTCCCTTACTGTGATGTAACTATGTTTATTGATTCACCCTATGAATTGCTGTATGTTTAGAGCAGGACAGTGCTTTCAGTTGAGTATTTGAAAGCTGTATGCTTGTCTAAGTAGGGTAGATACCCGTCCTTCCACATGGCAATAGCATGCCAAAATAGATAATATTTAATGGAGTACGCAACAATTCCCAGGAGGAACTGATGTTTATTTGATAATAAAATTGTTTGTGCTTACATGGGTTTTCCTATCAGTACAACACAACCCTCTTCATAAACAACTTTGAAAGATAGGATTCTGTTCTTAAATATTAACAGTATTCTTAATGCTTGGATTACATACAACTTGGTATGTTCTTTTTTTATTACCACAGATTTCCTTGTAAACAAGTTGAGGCACACTTGGTTGTGTGGCTTAACTTCCCTTGTGTGTCAGCTTAGTGACATGCATAAAGGGAGCACCTTTCTGCAAACATCTGCATTCTGGGTCAAGAACCAACTTCAGTCTTCAAAATTGAATCTTAAAAGGTAGGTGTACTATTGCACTGCTTGAACAAAGAGCTTTGTTTAAAGGCTCTAGGATCAGGTAACCGGGTTCTCTCTCTTAACCAAGATTTTACAATCGGGTATTGAAGTTGGCTTAGAAGTCTAGTTTAACTTGTTTGTGATGAAAGTCAAACTGTAACAACTGTTACAGTAAACAAGCAGGCTTGAGAAGTGAACGAGTGTGTGATCATACCCCAACCTCTTGTTAGAGGCTAAAAGACAGGTGACTTTGGTTCAGTTCAGCAAATCCATCAATCATGTTTTGTGCTAATTATAGTTTAGAAGCCAGAATATGTGTTCTCTTTGGCTGTGTTCCAGGAAGTCTGTTCTGATGCGATGTCATAGCAGCTTTCAAACTGTAGTTTGAATAGTTTGCTGACTTTCAGTGTAGTAGCAGATATGATTTCCCCCCTTGTTTCCATGGAACACAACATTCCCAGCATGATGAAGAAGAATCCAAAAGCAGAAGAACACAAAGGAAAAATCCATGAGCCTTTGCATGTGTTCAAACCTCTACAGATCATACAATCTTAAACAAATATCCCCCACCCTAATTCCATAGGAACAAAGATTTCATTCATATGCTTTAGAGCACTGGTTCCCAACCTTGGGCCTCCAGATGTTCTTGGACTACAACTCCTATGCTGGCCAGGATTTCTGGCAGTTGTAGCCCAAGAACATCTGGGGACTTAAGATTTGGGAACCACTGCTTTAGAGTATGGAGATCAATACAGTTTGGCTACTGTGCCCCTTAAAATCTTCCCACTAAGCACGAAGACAACACATGTTGTCCAGCCATTATAAAATAGGAGGGATTTGGCTCAGTGCCAGTAAATGCTTTATATAATGAAGATGGTGCTGAGCAAAGGGACCGAACAATAATTATGTAAAGCTTTTACCAGCACTAGCCAAATCCCTCCTGTATTATAATGGCTAGGCAAAAGGTGTTGTTTTTCTGCTCCATTGCAACTTCTCATGGTTAATAATAGGTGCTGGGTAGGGATCTGGACAGTACTATGCTGGCATAGAGTAGCCAGATATATTGATGCTGTCAGAAATGAAAGTGGAAGTTTCCAGTCGCATGGTAAAACTCGGGAAAGAAAGGGGAGACGATGTTTGCGTCTGAGGCTTGCTAAAGCCCAGTCTCATAATGCTAAACCATGATTTAGTGGCATGTCTGATGTGGCCTGTGGATCGTTTAAACTGTGTGTGAATTTTGAAATGGAAACTGTAGAGTCTTGAGTGTGTTCTCATATGGAGAACCATGAATTTTTTTCCTGTTATTTTTTTCAAGTAAAATGTTGGTTTCATCTCAGTTTGCAGGTTTTGATCTCTGCAGTCAGTGACTTGGTGACTAAATTGCTGGATGCTGATGAAGTTTCTTCTTTGTTGAAAGATTATATGGAATTGCTTACTCCGAGCAAGTGTGAATGGGAAAAGATGCGGGAATCTCTATCCAATGAGGTATACTTATAACCAGAGAATTCCTGTATAATAAATTGCACTTTGTAATATTTGTAGCATGTTTCCTATCTAGCTTACTATTTCAGAAATTCTGTAGTAAATTGGCATAAGAACTAAAATTATTCCAAGAGGTAAACATAGGGTGGTGTGTTTTTTTGGTCAATATAAAGTATACTTTTTTATTAACTACATTTCATGTAATTAAAAGGCATTTTAAATGCTCTAGTTTTAAACGAAGGGTAAATTTGATTCTTAACCATTTTATTAATGGGTTGAAAAAGAACTGACTCAAGGCAGACTCTTCTTTGTATAGGAATAAAATCTTATTTCCTTAATGTAGGAAACAACCCATTAAAAAACTCCACTCAGGCAGCCAGTTATTCAGGGAAAATTTGACTTACATGCTTTCTATATAAAGTCTTGTTCTTGCTGTAACAAGTGCTATTATATATAATACAAAATTATCCTTATACATACAGTATGAACAAGCTAACTAAAGTACTTTCTGAACACTTGTGTTGTATATATAATGTTGTTATATTTTTTTGCAGATAGTTCCATGAGCTAGTTTTAACTATGGTTAATGAGACATGAAATCTTGATGTGATAGTGGTTATGAAATACAGTGGTGCCTTGCTAGACAGTTACCCCACATGAGTTTTTTCACTGGACATTGACTTTTTGCGATTGCTATAGTGATTCGCAAAACAGTGATTCCCATGGGGGAATTTCGCTGGACAATGTTTGGTCCCTGCTTCGCAAACCAATTTTCGCTAGACAACGATTTTGACAGCTCCCTCCACGCTCGCAAAGCAGGAGTTTTCAGGACCTAAGCTTCACAAGACAGCGATTTAAACATAAACAGCTGATCGGTGGTTCGCAAAGCGGCTTTCCTATGGCCGATCTTCGCTGGACAACGACAATTCTTCCCCATTGGAACACATTAAACAGGTTTCAGTGCATTCCAATGGGGAAATGCTTTTCGCTAGACAATGATTTCGCTAAACAGCGATTTCAGTGGAACAGATTATCGTCTAGTGAGACACCACTGTATTTGATACTCAGTGCAGTATGGTGGTTTGAGTGTTGGACTAGGACTCATGGACCTTGAGTGTGAATCTCTGCTCAGCCATGGTAGCTCACTGGAGGAGTGGAACTAGTAAAATCATAAATATGTTATTTAGCTTAAAAAACCTATTAGGGTCACTATAAGTTGATTCTCACTTGACAGCATATAACGTAACAATGAAATATATAAGTTATTCTGTGATCTTAGAGGGTTTTAAAAATGTTTAACTGCCCCCCCCCTTTGTTTTTTGGTTACAGTGGTTAAGGAAACCACTTTTGGAAGGAAGGTTGAGTATGAATTGCGAGATACCTGAAACAGATCAGAAGCTTTGCATCTCAGCTAAACTTCCAAGCCATTTGTGTACTGCAGCTCTCTTAAGTAGAGTGGCACTACTGGTATTAGAAAAGGGGGTTGTATTTGAAAGCCAAGAAAAAGAAATCAGCAGATTTGAAAATATCGGTAAGTGAAAGCAACCTCTTCTACAATAATCACGGTTTTTGAATATTTTTACAACTTAATTTTCTTTTGAACCAGCTATTATAATAGTTGTCAAGCAGAAAGGAAAAATATTTCATATTCATGTAAATATTGTAGGTACAGTAAACAAGAGAAGAGTGAGTATAGTTCCGTGGATTGGAATACATGGTTTAAGAACCAAGGGCCAAGAGTTCGAATCACTGGTGTGCCTCCTGGGAGAGGGGCCAGCAAAGATGATCTGGAGTAGGTGACAGTGATGGGGTTTTGTGCCCTGCCAGTTTTGTAGCCTTAGGCTGCCTGAGTAGTTCCAGAGTATTGCCATAAGGAGGAAGCGGTGAACCACTTCTGTGTAATTTACACCCTGGGATAGTTGCCACAAGCTAGAATTGATTTGATGATACATAGTTACTAATAGTTGCAAAATGTAGTTTCAAACCCTCCCAAATCATAATTATTATTATTTCCGTTTTTAAAAAAGGTAATGTGTTTGTTTCATGTTGAAATTAACAAAATAAATTACTTTTTTTAAAAAGCAGGGGTCATTAAGGAAATGTTAATAACACAAAATGCAGTCTTACATTGAAAGCTAGAGCTGCTGACAGGTGGGAAAATGCCTTCTCCTCCTGTGCGCATCATCATTACCCTAACAGCCTCAAAAAAATAAATAAATAAATAAATAAATCACAATGCAGCAGTGAGGCCACAACCCGTTCATAGTTATAGGCCATAGCTATAAAAATGACCTTAGAAAGCTATTGCTAAGCTCCAGTAAGGACATGCTGTGTGAAATCCAGTATTAAGTCACAACTTGAGTAGGCCCAATGAACCAATGGAACTTAAGGAGTAGGAGTTAACTCATCCAATCTCCACTAATTCACTGGGCCTATTCTAGTTGTGTCATTTTTTAGCCAATCAGATTATAATGAAATGGAATTTGTGCCATATTTTCTGAGTTATGTTCCCATAGGTGTGCTAAAGATGCACACCTATGGGAACATAATTGTCCCATGTACAGGGGTCCCTGTTTATTTCAGTGGCAGGGCACAAAACAGCTCCACTATTAATACAAATGCCAAATTGTGTGTGGAAGTACACTCTGTGTTATTAATGTTTCTTTATGAGCTGCAAACTCCTGCTGTATGTTTACCCATCCCAATGTGGTCTGCTGAATACTGCACTAGATTTTGAGTTAAGAAGTGAAGGCATTGTTTATGCAATATCCTTTTGGAATTTTCTGTTTTCTGTCTGGAAAATAAAATCATAGGTCAGTTGTGAGGTTGTGGCAGGAATGTAAAGCATCGTGTGAGATGAAATAAATGATAATAAAAAATTGCTTCCAGTGACCAGAATCCTAATGTGACTTTGTACTGGCATAAGTGTAGTTGTGTAAATTGTGGTAATGGATCGTCATTTACATTCGTCGTTGTGTGCCAAGCTGTACAGTTGGCATGTAATAAGGAATGTGAGTGGCAACTCATTCATTAGCAGAAATCAGCTGCTTTAATTTGTCTTATTACACTTGACAGTGTAAGTTCCCAGCAGGATTCTGGCCGCTTCCGCCTCTCACATTTTAGACTGTGGATATAATACATTTTATGAAGTTTTAACAAAATACGTATATGCTGGATTGTGCTAATAACATATGGCTGGCATTTTCAGTTGCAGAATATATGTATGCCTTACAGTGGATTGAAGAACTAGCAAACCCACCTTGTTTGCTTCTTGAATTTCTTCATCATCTTCAAGTAATGGATATTTCATGTGACAGATTACATAAACTCTGTAATATCCCCTGTCTCCTACAAATATTATTCAATAAGTAAGTTTGTGTTTTTCGGGGGGAGATGTAAATACCTTTGGGTGTTTTTTGCTGTGAATAAATAGAAGTGAATTTAGGTAGCCTGTAAATAAACCAGATTAATCACAGAAGCTTTTTAATCCTTTCATAGGTCAAAAGAGAGTGGACGGCTTTGGGCCTTAACTATGGCTAAATTGATACATGCAGTGAATATTGCCTCCTGTGAGATAAAAGCACTGTTTATTACAACAGAAAGGTATGATAACAGGCTAGTACTCCTAAGACACTGATTGTAGATAATGCTACCACACTGATGAAAGCAGGGAAGTAGACTGCACTGATTTGCAGAGAAATTATGTGCCTTAGAAGTGCTACAGCCAAAACTGGACAGTAAGAACAAGTTTAATGATTATGTCACTATAACATTGAACCCATGGTCCTCTCCTTCTCTGGGCAGGAGGAACACATTTATCATATGAATACAAAGTGGTGCAGCTGCTGCATTGTACTTAGTTCTAGTGTAAATCAGAAGTTTTGAAAAAGTACTCTTAGGGGCTATAATTCCCAGGATCCCACAACCAATAATGTTAACGATCATTTCAGCTTGCTGATTAAAGCACCTCTTCCAAGTTTTGATCTAAACCTGGATGGCATACATGTATATAGCTCGTTGGATATCTCAGTAGGTAAGGTTGTTTGGCTGCAGAGACAGAGATTGGGCATATGATTTCCCACAATGCCTCCCAGGGAAAAGAACAGTCCCAGAATACCCCCCAGGCAAAGGGAATGGTAAACCACTACTAAGTACTGTGTGTCTAGAAAACCCTGAAAAGTCAGAATCAGCTTGGTGGCATATAATTGATTAATTTTCTATACTCAACTCTCTGAATGAATGTGCTTGAGATAAATTTACCTTGCAACAAATAGAACCAAATATAGACTCTGGGGAAAATTTGCTTTGTTTTTAGAGAGAGGGGAATCATAATTGGAATTGAGGAGGTGTGATAATCACATAGCCAAAGAGAAGGTCGTATGCAGTGAAACAACTCAGAAGCCTCAATGTTTTTGTTGCCCTTGTGATTCCCTGCGCTGTATTTCTGTCTCTTTCAAATAACGTCTGTGCCTGTTCAGTATCCTGACTGCTTGTGGAGGCGGAATTCTTCTTTAGAAAATTCTGTAATAGAAGCATCTTTCTTGATTGCTTGGCCTTCCTGAACTTCTTTGTATGTAGTTCAGTGATCGATTCTGTTTTTTTATCTCTCCTTTCTATGAACAGTTTTTTCCCTTTAATGGAAGGAAACTTGCATACACTTCAGAATTTGTCTCCATTTCTTCTTGAGGAAGACAAAGAAGAGCTTGTCATTCAGTGTACTGCTAAACTAATGACATGCAGTGAAGCCGAACTCTTCAGTACTGACGGTCAGTGTCAGTTAAATGTTCTCTTCAGTGCTACATTAGCTTGTAAGAGGTAGGATTTTCAGTGCACAACATGTGATCAGATGTTTAGTAGCATCTGAGAATTGCTGCTATTATTTGTCACAGTAGAACATTTTCATGAAGTATCATGATATGTATCTGGAAAATCACATTGATTGTTAAATTTTACCTGATCATTTTCTTCATCCCTACATCTTTCTTTCTCTTTGTATTTTAACTGTTTGAAGAATATGGGCTTCTACAGAGAGAAGCACTATATGGAGCTTCCTAGAAGTTCTCTAGATAAATAAATATCCCAGGGTCCTCCAAGCCACTTTCTTTCTGGTGCTTAGAGAAATGTGGCACTTAGTAATTGTAGATGCCACTGAACATTACTGATGGATTTTAGTGAACCAAATAATCAACTGCAATTAATTATTCCATTTTAAAATAACAATCCTGGAGTGTGTATCCTTAGATATTATTCCATGTCAAGGTTCGGGTGTATACTGTAGTTTTCATGTTCTTGGACTATAGCAGAAATGGTCACATTCTCTATAATAATAATGAGAGTATGTAACCATCTCTAGACATGCTAAACAAGGCTGTAGTTTTCATGTTCTTGAACTATGGCAGAAATGGTCACATTCTCTATAAGAATGAGAGAATGTAACCATCTCTAGACATGCTAAACAAGTGTTGATAAATATCTTTTACTACCTTTTTAATATTTAGATACATAAACAGAATCTGTTGGATTAAAAAAAAGCTTTGAAGCTCTTACACTTGTATATTTAGATTTTTTTAACCACATGGATAAGAATCCTGTTGCTGTATGTCATGTTGGAGGAGACAGGACATGGAAGCCAGGGGGCTGTCTCTGAGTTGGTATCTGCTGGAGGAGGTGGGGCTGGGAAACTCCGAACACCTCTTTGGCCGAAAAACAAACAAGCGGGTGTCTATTACAGGAGGTGGGGCTGGGAAGCTCCAAACACCTCTTTGGCCGAAAAACAAACAAGCACAAACTGCCGGTCCATGCCCGTCTCCAATTCAGACCACTGCTGAAACAGCTGAGATAAAAGATAGCGGACATCCGTATACAACATCGGCTAACAAAGAAGGAAGGACATTGAGTGCAGAAAATCACAGACTCAGTGCTGTTTTATCCGGACCGAGCTGGAAAATTTTCTTCCCTGACATCCTGGCAAGCCATGTAGATGGGCTGAATGGATTAGAGGCCTGACTGTATATATTAAGCAGCTTCCAGTGTTGTTCAGTTTTCAGATTTGCCTCTGCTACTGTAATGATTATGCATAAATTAAAATTTTACTTTTAGATAAATCTGTAGTAGAATAAAAGGGTCTTCACTATGTAGCTCGCCCTTGGCTGTGCAGACACCTATAAAATAGAAGTGGGAACATCGCTAACCTTTCTGAAGTAGGGTATTAGGAACAATTCAGCTCAGTCTTTCTCTTCTCTTCTTCTCGGAGCCTATATTCTCCCGAAAGTGTTCACTCATTCCACTGCTCTTGATTTAACGCTTTTCTTATGTCTGTAAACATTTTATGAGGCCCTTTTAACTTGGTCTATGAATTTATTTTAGGAGCTTTTGGATTTCTTTCCGTTCTGAATTCCTGCCTCAATCATGAGAGCGCTGACTATGGAGAACTAGTGTCTGGAATACTAAAAATCATCATATCCTGGCGAAATGATTATGACATCTTTCTTTTCAGTTGGTGAGTATTTTGCTAACGTTTTGATTTTTTTGTTAATTATTGGGCAGCATTGAGTTATTCAAATAGTTGTGTTTAATTTCTGACTGCAACACAGTAAAATAATTTTAACCTGATAAATAATATGAGTCTTAGCATATTATTTCAGTGTGCTTAAAGGTAAAAACCTATCGGGCAAAACCAGAAGACAAATAAAATATAAAAAAGACAAAAAATGTTGTAGCACCTTAAAGGCTAATGTGAGCTTTTGTGGACAAGTCAACTTCCTCAGACGTAAGACTTCTAAAAGCAAAAACAGTATTTCTGAAACAAGAAGCACATTTTCTTCTCTCTTAGACGGTGCACACATTACATGAGAGCTAATTATCCTCTAGAGGAGAGAAAGAATCATGCATCTTTAAACAGTACTTACCATTTTTTTTATTTATTTGATTTATATCCCGCCCATCTGGTCTAGTCGACCACTCTGACCATCTACAATTGTTATGAGTGCTTATATTGAAAACAACTTTTTAAAATTTTTTTGCTCATTGATTATTTGGAGACTCCTTTTTCTTTGATTAAAAGATTTAAAAGCAAATATTGGAACTAAGCTTGCTATTCTGGTAAATTTTTAATTGAATAAAAATTGCAGTCCCTACTTACAGGCCTAGTGTTATCAGTTTTAAAAGGCTATAGCCGTGACTAGCACTGGTTACTATTATTACTAAATAGTAGTGGAATGGAGATAATCACGTGATAGGTCTATGCAATATATAGTAATGATTGTTGTGATCTGTAAGTTAATTTGCTTTATATTTTTGATATATTTAATTTTTCCAGATTGCTCATGAAATTACAGTGGTGCCTCGCATAGCGAGGTTAATCTGTTCTGGATTAACCCTCGCTGTGTGAAAGCATAGTTGAACGGGGCAGGAAAAGCCATTGGAATGCATTAAACATGGTTTAATGCGTTCCAATTGGGCCGAATACTCACCGTTCAGCGATGCTTCCCTATGGCCGGCAGCCATTTTCGCGCCCTCCCCTCGCTTAATGAGGGCGCGAAAATGCTGCACGCGGCCATTTTGGGGCTTTCGGCAGCCATTTTGTAGCCGCCGAACAGCTGATTGCGGGTCGCAAAGCGAAGGTCGGTAAGTGAACCGCTTACTGACCTTTGCTCTGCAATTTTTGCCCTATGCAGGCACCGTTTTGCGATCGCATTTGCGATCGTAGAGTGCCTCGTAGAGCGAATTCATCGCTCTACGAGGCGCCCGTTGTGCGAGGCACCACTGTAATTCATATCTGACAGAAAGAGATGGTTTTGTATCTGTTGCAGTATAAATTAAATGGTATGAAATTATACCTTTATATTCTTACCTTTTGCCCATTTTATCTCAAGCAATCTAGAACCACAGAACTTTCAGCTGCTTGGTATCAATATAGAAATGATGCGTTTTATTTCTCTGCTGCTGAATAACCCTTCCACACTGCTGGAGAGTGAATGGGATTTTGTCATGTGTTCCATGCTGGCATGGTTAGAAGTAAGTAGTGAATGTGAACGCAAAGAAAACTGCAGAAAGATTCAGCTACTTTTCTCTTTGATTCCACTGGGTGGCAGTTCTTGCCTTTTGTAAATCTAAAATATACTGCTGTGGCCTGTGATTCTTTCCTATCACTGGTTGTTACATTTTTCTGGAATAAAATTTTCAGGAGGTTTAAAAAAAATCTGAACTCACATTAGTATTCCTAATTGTTGTATACTTCGGCATGTTATGTCAACACTTCATTTTACCGGAATATATAATTAGTAATGCCTTTCCAAGTAAATTTCAACTTATGGTGACCTCCCCCTGGGTTTTTATTAAACATGTAAAACACTTGTAAGTGTTCAGTTCCTCCTTCTAGTGGTGCTTCGGAACCGTGCCACGTGCCCAAGACTGCACAGGCTGCAGGGCACATCACTTCATCAGCTTCCTACACTTCCCATGTTCTTCCTTTGCCTCTGCAGCCAGAAGTTGTAGAAGATAACTGTTGTTAGAGAGTGAACGAAGGAAGCGGTTTGTTGACAGGTGGAAGGGTGTAGCCGCTCCTTCTGGTGGTGCTTTGGAACCACGCTTTAGAGGCATTTACTTTGCTTTGGCTTGTTACAGAAGGATGATTGATTAGAACAGTGTTCTCCAACCTTGGGCCTCCAGATGTTGTTGGACTTCAACTCCCAGAAATCCTGGCCAGCAGAGGTGGTGGTGAAGGCTTTTGGGAGTTGTAGTCCAAGAACATCTGGAGGCCCATGGTTGGGGACCACTGGATTGGAAAGTAAAGAGAAAGTGAGGCGATTGTTATTGAAATCTGTGTTATGTGCTAGTGAAATCTGACAAGAATTAAAGACTCGCCCCATGTTCTTTTTCCTCTCCAGACAACAAGTGAAAGCCAGGCAGTCTTTGCTTTTCCACTGGTGCAAGTCTTTGCCTGTGTGAGCTGTGACCTCAGCGCTGCCGTGAGTGCTTTTTTCCAGGCAGCAACTCCTGAAATCATTGAAAAGCTTCCACCAAACCTCATGACAGAATGGCAAGAGTTCTTTTCAGAAGGCATTCATAGCTTACTTTTACCTTTGTTGGTAAAAATCACAAGTACGTGAGCTAACAAATTTACTATGGCTAAGTAATTGATAGCTGTTTTGACATGCTGTTCAGCAATGAAGTATCTTTCCACTTGAACTTCATTGCTGGGGAGGCACAGATAGAAGCTAGGGCCACGTTTCCAGAGTAATGATGCACAATACTCAATGGGATGTACAGTATTCAACATACACCATCAGGGCATTCCTTTCCTTCATATTCCAGTTTCTTTTCCTGCTGTACTCAATTCACTCTTATTACCTGTGAGGAAATACTTTTGATTATTATCCATTTATATTTCTAGGAGTAAAATATCTTACCCATTTTTAAAACCCAAAATACACATTTCCTTAACTGATTGATATTATGACTGGTGTACAAAACACATGGATGGAAATATGTAACAGACTTCCATAAATCTGTACTTTTTCACAGCTTACAGGACTTGCAGTCTCTCCCCATTCTAAACAGAATGTCTGCTTTGTCACAGCCCTTTCCTGGCTGTATAAAATGCTAATTTTGCTGATACTGTAAGGTGGAAGGATACTCCTTTCACCTATTCCCTATTGACTCCAAAGTCTCCCATTTGATCAAGAGTCCAAACCCATTGCCTAAAAATGATTTTGCTTTCATAATTTTATTTGAGCAGTGTAGTGCAGTGCAGTATTATACCCAAATACCAATGAGTAGCTGTTTGAACCAGTTAACAAAAATTAGAGGCTAAGTCCAAAATTAGTTATAACTTGAAGAAGATTTGTGGAAATAAAAGAGACTTATATTACTGGTGGTCATTTCTGTAGATTATATTACTGGTGGTCATTTCTGTAGATGTCTCCCCCCCTCCCCAGTCTAAGGTTGGTTTTAGCCATAGACTTCTAGTACTGTTCTGAAAATACTCCATGTTAATATGAGAGTATGCTGTCATATTTGTATATAAATATTTTTGAATGGTTTTACTAGGTAGATGTACTAGTCCTGCCTGCCAAACTGAATTTAAAAAATGTGAATTGTCTTCTCTCTTCTGCTGAATAGGGAAAGAAAAAGGTGCTCTGGAGACTTCATTTCAAGACTCCATGTTGAAATCCTTGGGCAGAGCTTTGACATATACATCAAAGGATCAGTTACTGAACCATAAGCTTCCTCCTAGATTTGTTGCTGGCCAGAAGACAAACCTGCCTGATAAACTGCAGACCTTGTTAAACGTACTGTCACCATTACTGCTTTTCAAAGCTACACCTGTTCAAATTACGGTATATCACATGTTAAATAAGTAAGTTTTTCTCCCCTCACAATTTTCAATCACTTTTTGTATTTTTTAATCAGTGGCAGTTTTATTTGAAGAAAATAACTTATGAGCATAATGACCATTACTATTCAATATGTTCTGCAAATGTAGTGATATGTAATCTATAAATTGCAGCAGTGCTGGCTGAAGTTGAGCAAGACTGAGTGCCCAGCCTCCATCCCAAATGCGGGTCCTTGACTTTCAAGACCCACTTTGTTCAGTGACCACCGCTGTATGTTTCTGAAGCTCAAGTTTTGAGGGAAATCTTGGGGTGAATCAGATTGCTGCAATTTCATTATTCCATCTCTTCTTGAAAGGGCGGGCAACCATTGCTGTCTTGTCATCACCTAATAGATCTCTCTACCTCTTCCCTCATGAGTGGTATCCTGTAGAGCAGTGGTCCCCAGCCTTTTCCAAACTGTGGACTGATGGGGGGGC